AAACTGCGGTTATATCCAGGATAAGACTCCGCCTTGCATTTCAAACAATGCCTCATTTTTAAACAAATCGCGTCCAATTATTATTTTGTTAACGTTCGAATATTTAACGAATTTTAATTCTACACACATTCTGCACGCATGTTTACAAAACGAAATTTTAGTCTGCTTTCTCTCCTCCTGACGTCGCGTGGTCGCTTGGTGGCTCATTGTAACAACCAATCACAGCGCTCGGCTAGAAAGAGACAGATAGGACACTCGGCATCCATCTCTCTCATGACCTCTATCACTTCCACTTACAGGTAGCATATATCCCTTGTTCCCTCTATTCTTAAATCTCTATGGAAACTACCGACGTATAATCCCGTGTAACGTTCGGACTTATTTTGAAACATTAATAATATATTAGTATAGATCGGAGGCCGACTTGTCTGATTTCAGATATCACTAGATTAGATATTCACCAGGTATCCCTATGTTACTAGATGTAAGTACGTTCGCATATGTATATTCGCGCACGTTAAATATTATAATTAAAATTATAACACCAAAGAAACGACGTGTCGTTAGAGAGCTTTAAAATCGAGGGATCAACTATAGACAAGAGAAACCGTAATCTTAATGCGATAAGACACCCCACTGCTAGCATAAACAGGAGCATGAAACCTAAATCCAAACACCACTCAGGACCGACGCGGCGATATCGACGCGGTGACATCATACCGATGGAATGAATTTCTTCCATCTCCACGATTCCATCAGCCAACCAGAAAACGACTCTCAGCGACAAAGCAACGTATAAAAACGCGCGCATTCGTTGCGAAGACGATTCTTTTCTCGTGATTAGCTTTTGATACTTGTGTACTTATATGGTTTGGAATATATTAGTCGTAAAATCCGACTGTGTAACAATTATTTTTGTCTACCCCTCATTTCTCGAAAGTTGCGAAATCGAAATTGGAATCGCGGACCGCATCATCCCGCGCAGCACCGGAACATCCGAGACCGAGCCAGGAGAATGAGCGGCTTTGATTTCTCACCAGATTCATCGATCGTTTCGCCAGACTCCGGAGACTCAGGGTAAACTCAATGAAAAGCAGAGTGACCTAAAAGCGGAGTCATCACTCTGTTGACCGTCCACGTAAGTCACTGATTTTACTACTTTCAAATTTCCCTATATAGTTATCTATCGTGGACGTAACACCGTACAGCAACTATCTCTCTCTAGCATTTGACGACTCTTTAGCTGAATGTGCAGTCTAGTTATTATACGTCTATGATCCTTATATGATGCCAGACACCAGGTAATCTTCCTACTCCTATTGCCTGTATCCGGGCGTGGTGGTGACCTCTCTCATATGCCTGTGGTGCGCACGCTGATTATACACAGTCATAATAAATATACGTTAACGATTTAGTTAACGGCATGTGGGATCTATAGTCAGTTTAATGGTTACTCCCCACAAGACGCGACAACGCTTGCCGCGAGGCGAAAGTTTACGCAGTAGCCAATAAACTCCTAGGCCGATATTCATAATCGAATCTTATTTCAAGTTTATCTTCAGATGCTCTACGACTTATTTCATTGGCCACAAAGCATCTGTAGATAAAGCCAGTTTTAAATATAAGATCCGACTATGAATACCGGCTCCAATTCTTATAGAAAAATGGCATGTTGATTGGCTACCACACGAACTTCCGCCACGCAGCAAGCGTTGCCGCGTCCTGTGGGCAGAAGCCATAATCGTATCATTGTGTTTCTCATAGATGGGGTTACGTCAGAGTGAAACAAGACAAAAAGTATGAATAGTATGAGCCGAGTAACACTTAATCTCGTAACCCTGAGTAGTGTTGGTCTGGGTGGCTGGTATCTAGGCAAATTTTCCGAACGGAAGCGTTGTTCAAACGAGAAAGACAATGGAACAATTAAATTCTCGAAGGCGCGAATTTGTAATATGCCGGCTTTACCCTTGTTCGGCACGGTTACAGCGGCTACCCCCTTGACACCAGTCGAAAACAAACCCGAGATGGGCTCCAAAATATCCTCGACAGCCGCGAGAATATCGCAGGTAATGAAAAAGCATTTCGATGATTTGTAATTAAATTCCAAAAGTGTTTGGCTATTGTTTAATAATGAAAGCCGAGGTGAGACCCTTAAAAATTTATCGTATTTTTTTATTTTTTGTGGGTTTTAAGATGGCATACATTGATCATTACTGTAGATTATGAAATTTGGTTTTCCCGGATTGGATCACGTCAGATCGTATGAAGATTTTGTACTATCTTATGATAGACGGAACAAAGTTGCTCATTGGGTATTTGAACACTTGACCAAAGATAGATTGCAATACAAAGATTCTGTGGATCGTTCAAAGTGCGAATTCAAACCTGATCAGAGTATACATCCTTTCTTCAGGTCAGAACATCTTTCAATCCATTTTTTGAAAAATTCAAAGTCACAGAAGAAAATTTAATAAAACTATTTACCACTATTCTACACGACCTCGGCAATATTGACAGGTCAGAGAATACAGATTATAAGGGAAGTGGATATGATCGTGGCCATTTGGCTGCAGCTGGGAATCATAAAGTTGAACAGAAACATATGGAACAAACTTTCTTCCTCTCCAACATGGCGCCACAAGTTGGCGTGGGTTTCAACAGAGATTCTTGGAATAGATTGGAGAAATATGTTAGAAAATTGACAAACATCTATAAGGATGTTTATGTATGCACGGGACCACTTTATCTTCCAAAGTATATTTACCTTTCTTACTATTTTAAATTTTTGCAAATCATCTCTACCTATTACAACAAAATATTATATTATTTAACGAAATTGATTCTCCTTAGTTATTTCAGTTATAATTTTTTTGTAATAATATCATACAGTGCTCGGAACTACTTGCATGAACAAGGCGATTTTCAAGGATTACACCTCCTTGTCTCTCCATTCTTGGTGGGCCACGATAATCACAACGTTTAACCTCAGAACTGTTGACATTACGAAATTTGAAAGACACTTCCTAATATCTGAAAAGATCTTATTGAAACAACTCCATTATATATATTTTTATACACTAGCAATGAATGTTAATACTTTGCAGGCTGCTGTCACGTACGCGTGACTTTTCTTCGCCAACTGTTATCGGCCGCTGTCACGTACACGTGACTTCTTTTCGCCAGTGGTGATGCTTCATTCCGATGTTTTTATAAGTACACATATTGATGCAGAGCAGCAATAATTGATGAATAAGTCACGTGTACGTGACAGCGGCCGATAACAGTTGGCGAAGAAAAGTCACGCGTACGTGACAGCGGCCGGCAAAGTGTTAATATATTATTAAAATTACAAAGTGGCAATGGGTTTCCACCTCACTCATAGGGTACTATTGCCGACACGTTTTTTTTTTATCCCCAACGGTTTTGAGACTAAGCACCGCGACTATCAGACCTGCTAGACAAACCGGCAAATAAGAAGGTATATTTATACAAATAATTCCGAGCACTGTTGTAGTCATTCTGTTTCTTCCAATTTTTATGCCTTTTTCATCTATTTTCTACCTTTTAGTCTTGATCAATTTTTTTTGCATATTACGAGATGTGTTGGATTTTTATTTACAAAACCATTTTGATCTACTTTTTCCTGCACTTCTCTCTGTATATACCTTTTTACAGTTTACCTTACAATTATATTATGTTAACCCTTTGCACTCGAGGGCTCCGGAGCGGAGCCATTTAAAATTTGTCTTCAAACTCTTCAAACTCAAATGCAAATAGCAAGACCGGAATATCCTATACACAATAGTTTCTACGATTTGTCTTTGTCCTGATGTTATGAACTGAAAGTTATTTGCATTGTCTCCATAGCGGAGCCCTCGAGTTTGAAGACAAATTTTAAATGGCTCCGCTCCGGAGCCCTCGGGTGCAAAGGGTTAATATATTTGACGTATTTGTATTTGTATGCAGGAAAGAAGCAGATGGAAAGAAATACGTGCGCTACGAAGTAATAGGTGTAAATAACGTGGCAGTACCTACACACTTTTATAAAGTGATCGTTGGTGAAACAAAGGAAGGCAAACTGGAGATGGAAGCTTTTGTAATGCCAAACATGCCAGTCAACGATAATACACCTCTCACGAATTTCCAGGTAGCGTTTTATAAGTAAAATTTTTAAAAAGATAAAAAGAACTATGCATGAAATATTCTGTGCATTTATTGTGTAATATGTATATTAAAAAATTGTTTATATAATTGAGTTACAATTTGATATAACAATAGAATGCAAAATAAATAAAGTATATCTACGAAAAAATGTCACAAAATAAGAGGAGCATAATTCGTTTTACCCACAGGTGCCACCGGAGACAATCGAACGCGCTGCTGGACTTTTATTTTTCGACAAAATATCGCGCGACAAACTGAGTAAAGTGAACGGCAAGAATACAGGCTGATTTTAACTCTACATTAGTTAAATTACTTTTAGTCTATTATTAGTAACGATGAGTAAAAAACGGATTTACATAAAATTGATTTTCGTCAATGAACGACAAACTGAAAACAGGCACTTATGTTGCTGAATATATTCATGGATTATAACACGTTTCTCATTACTTTTATAGCTGTCTGTATGTTTTGTTTTAATTTTTATATATCGAAAAGACAAGAAAACTATCGCGTAATGAAATAAACTTTTTATTCGAAAAACGGAATGTTATTCCATTAATGAAAAAGTGTATATGTATTTATATTATAGGATGTCCCAAACTAATTTCGGTTCCCGCGGTGTGCAAATAGAACGGGTGAAACTGAGTAGAAAAGTTATGTACCATTTTACAAAATTCGCAATAATTAATCAGATATGAATTATTTTGTCTGAGTTAATAAGCGCGCTGAAAGCGGTAGGTCGGATTCTATATTTAAAAAATAGCTTCTGAAGATCTAGCAACAATGAGTATCAACTGATAGCAAGAAGTGTAATTCTTTTCGGTACACAATTCTATGTCACGTGCCGCTCGCTGTTCACTGCGTTATTCCACCTGTAGGAATCAGTTGATGCTCATTGTTTCTAGATCTTCAGAAGTAAGCCATTTTTCTTTACACAGAGTTCAGCCTAACGTTTCCCGTTAACTGAGGCAAAATGATTAATTCCTTATTAACTATTGTGAATTTTGCAAAATGGTACGACTTTTCTGTTCAATTTCACCTACATTCTACACCGCGGGAACCGAGATTAGTTTAACAGATACCCTGTGTATACACGCACGCGCACACACATACCATGCAAGGTGTCCAATTTTATTTTTGAGAATCCACTATCTGAAAAAATATGGGAGATACGGAAAAATGTTTCAGACAAAAGTTATGCGGTGTCAAGGGGGACAAATAATAATAAAATTAAAATGAGAGATTATTTAATTTTACGTAAAAAAGTGTTAGACTTAAACTCTTATGTAAGAAAATATTTCATGAAAAAAAAACAAAATCCTCTATTGAACAATATATACGTGCGTAATTCTCTTCTTAATTAAATCTAAGACCACGGACGAAGGTGTTTAAGATTCGGCTATCCCCCAAGCGGCCATATTGGTTTTTGACATCAGAAGCGAGAAATGACATGCCGAAAGTTTCTTGCATTTTATATCTTTTTTTTTCTTTCTCTGAAAAACGGACTTCATAATCTTGAGTTTCATAATCTTGATACCTGTAAAATAGTTTTATAATCTTGATACCTGTAAAATGTGCCGAAAACTGAGTTATCTGGCCGATGTTACGTAGCATCGTAAAATAATTCATGAAATAATGCTCATTTTTTGCTGAGAACGATGGTTTATGACAGCTAAGCTATCACATTTAATTTCTCGATTTTCACAATATATCATCACTATCACTGAGTTTTTGGCACATTTTACAACTATGAGGATCACGAAATTTCATAGAGAATCTGAAAAATAATGCGATAAAACGCAAGAAATTTTCCGAAGTGTCAAGCGATGCCTAGCGTGAACCTAAAAGTTCCGACTTTTCCCAACCGCGGTACCACACTAGAATTGCTAATTTAGCCAATTTTAACGCGTCGGTAACACTACCAATAGTAATGTCTCATATGATAATTGAATCTGTAGTAATATTTTATCTCACATGAATCGGTGCGATGTTGCCAGATGTTTGACAATTGATGTTGTCAAATGTTAGGTGCGAGATTGAAGTGTGCATGCTCTCCTAAGCTAAATCTCTATCGCTGATCGCTTTTTACCACGCGTTCATACTCATCTTTTTTCCACTTTTGTTATTTTTGTTTTTATGAAATATGCATAAAAAGAATGATTAAAAGACGAATTGAGCCGTAATTGCGTTTTTATATCTATGAATGTAAATAGCATGTTATAATGAACCTTTTATACTACAGACAACATAACAATTTAAAATCAAGACATAAAACGTCTTAAAGACATCTTACAAAAGTACAATAAGTAAGATATTTTACAGACATTTTTAAGACGTCGTTAAGATATCTTGTACCTCGATTTTAGACTTACGTTGTCTAGGATCTTATCAGTGAGAAAACGAAATGTGACAACCTAGAGAGCACAGGAATATTCTGTGAATATTCAACGAATATTCATTACGAATATTTGTATATTCATCGAATGTACTAAACAATGTTATAAACAATGTACTAAAACAATGTTATATGTTCATAATGGTTGCGTTCCGATATTCACTCCCAGAGAAAAAAAGATCATATATAAAATTTGCCTATATATGACTATATATAATCATATATTTCCATGACGAAAAAATACTATTATTTACAAATTATATGGAAATATAATCGAAGTAAATACTTCTGGCTACCTGTGCTTTTGACAGCACATGATATCGACATTTAATTAAATGACATAACATCATTTTTTTCATATAGACATATATGATTACATATGTAATCACATATATGGACAAAATTCATATATATATATAATCATTTTTTTCTGAATTTTCAGTATTAAAAATCTATAGTTCATATAACATATACTCTAGATTTTCAGTATGATGAATATAAGAATGCAGCAAGTATGTTTTTTTACAAGAAGAGCACGCGAGGTGAGCAACACAGGTGTGAACCAAACTTTAACAGTTTATAGGGGGTTTATATCTTTCAGACATCTTAAAAACGTCTTAATGACGTCTTATATCACGATATTTTAAACACGACTTCAAGACGTCTAAAAGACGTCTCATGTCCCGATTTTGGATATCTGTGCTATCTGGGAAATTAACAAAAAAAATTTCAGTGTCCCGTGTAGATCGCAGCACAACTAAAGTTCGAAACGCGCAACAGCGCATCGTCTAACCACTAAGACGCAAGTCCGAGACTCATGTTGACGATTAAAAAAATTTTTTTGTTTTTTCTAATAAAATTATAATTCTTTAATCATTTAGTGAGGAAGAATTTTATCATTATTTGTCCTCTTTGAAACCGTATAACTTTTATCTAAAACATTTTTCTTCCTATATTTTTTGAAATATTTGATTGTCAAAAATAAAATGGGACACCCTGCATATATATATATATATATATATATATACATATATATATATGTGTAAGCACATATATATAGATAGAGAGAGAGAGAGAGAGAGAGATGTGATGAAATGTAATTAAACTAGCACATTGGGAGAGTATGATTAACCCTTATCAGACGCTAGCTTTTTATGCGTGATTCTCACTAGGTTGTAGCTGGTTTCGGTAAATATGCGAACTTGTCACCTCTTACGTGACGTACGACCGCAGCGACGAAATATTGTTGTCACGTGAGAGGTGACTTACGACCGATAAGGGTTAATTTTATTAGATGCTACTTTTCTCTGGAAGAAATCATCGCGCTGTATCATATTTCTCATCAAAATGATAAATACATTTATTAAATTATATGTGTATATATTTATTGATTTTGTACATCAAATTATCCGCTTCGGGCAGGGAAGTCGCTATATCTATCTGTTATTTAATGCACAATGTGTGTCATGTCGATCGTCACGCGACACACGGAATAAACTCTTGCACTCGAATCTACGTATTTTATTCGCCCCTTTTTTTTACGACATTACGACATGTGAATTCGGACGTGTCGTTGTGAAATAAATAGAGAATAATTTCACACACTATTATCTGAAAATGGGAAATTAAACGGACTAATTTGTCTAAATTATACATATCGATATAATTTTGACACAATTTCCAACGTATATTTCTGGGGTAAAATAATTATAATTAAGAAAACTAGGTCGATGGAAACTGAATTAATTTTCCTCGGATATATTTGGTTTCCTATTCTTCGTTTTCCCCATGTCACGCTAAAAATTCAGTCTTGCGAACACACGCTTTAAGGTGATAAATATCGTACTTACAAAATCGCGTGACATGATTTTTACAGAGTAAACTTGTGTAACGCAAGTTCACCTTGCAGTTTACTTTGGTCGTGGTAGTAAGTAATTACGTACCGATTAATATATGTTCGTCATTCGTTAAATACCTAAGAGTTATATAAAATTTCTAGCGATAAAAATCATTAATAATCTTCACGGCTTACGAGCTAGGCTATGTACAAAATTAACAAACGCGACGGCGATATCTCGAGTTTTTTGTACGTACTCGAGTTCTTTTCGTTTTCGCGAACTTTCGAATCGCGCCGAAAACATGCAACGATATCGTCGTCTTTCTTCCCCACGATAAATTTGAATTAACGTTGACGCTGCTTGATAATATTTAGGGCCTAGAGTATATAATCCCTGCGGTGATGGGTAAAAATTAAGTAAAAATATATCGATGTAGTACTAAAAAAAAATTCAATTAAAATTAAATTGATAGGAAATAAGTTTTGGCATAAAAGATAATAGATATTGGTAGACTTTATAATGAGAGTCATAAAAATATTCAGTAGAAAAGAATGAAATATTGAAATTGATAAAATTACAAAATTCATTTACAATATCATATCAACACATAATGATTTGGCAATATATTTGAAAGAGAATTTTGAAATATATCAGATATACCCTTAAAAATAAAAGAAATGCATACGGTTAAAATAACAAATTAAACATCTATAAAATACTTTTTTACAGCTAGTGTCAAGTTTTTGAAATTGGAAGTTGATAGTCATATAAGATTATCAATTTTCCTTAATTCACCTAGCTTATTGTAGCCGTAAGGACATGTTATGCATTATTATTGGAATGTCCTGTCGTCTTTCTCTTCTTCTCGCGCTTTTCGATATTATATGCTCGCGACTTATAAATAATCTTTTTTTTTTGTGTGTGTGTGTGTGTGTGTGTGTGTGTGTGTGTGTGTGTGTGTGTGTGTGTAGCGCGTGTGTGTGGGAAAAAAAGAGAGAGAGAGTGGGAGGAAGGGGGAGATTAGGCACTAAATGGACGGGTCTGTTTTTTCGGATGCTTCCTTCCTTCGAGTATTGCTTACGTTGTAAGGACACTTTTCTGAGAGTTTTAAGTACACTTTGTTTGAATCTACAATGACTTGAGCGCAATGTGATTTACAGAGTGTCCCAGATAAGTACGTATGTATATTGCTTCTTGTTATTATCCAAAAACTCTTCCGCACGAGAACCACTAAATTATTCAAATATCTACTCCACGAATCCTCCGATTCCAGAGTCTCTAATTTCGTATTCCTGAGTCATTAGACGTGATTGAATCCAACGATCCTTCGAATCCACGAGTTCTCAAATCGTTGTTGGTCCCTTGGATTCGATTAAAGAAATCATAAAAATATAAATTAATTAAGAAATACATTCTTGCACGTGTTTTTTTTCCTGGGACACTCTATGTACATTCCTCGACTGTGCAGGGGAATACATTAAATCACTCAGGAAGCCTGGAACTTGAAATATTGGCTTTATCTCGTTCTAGCGTAACGCACCGAGTTTTCAAGGATTGCTATCAAAAGTTGCTTGACAATTATCATTCTTCGACAAACATACCGTTAGAGAAATCGTTGCGTCGTTGCGAACACGTTTCTTATTAAATTTATTACCTTAATACGGAAACACTTTTCTATACGTCTCTATTCAATTATTTCGTACAAGCCATAGACAGATTAAAAGGATTCAAAACAAATTTTGGAATCAATTCCCAAAGATTCCAAGAGAGAAATTTAATTTCGTAGGTAAATTCTCATTTAAGGCCTCGGAGTAGTCAGCTAAGAACTCCGCATTGACACAGTAGCAACACAGTTCAGAATAAAAAATGAACCACTAGAGTACGTCTAACAAGCGCTACAAATGTTTCGAAGCGTTTCTCTTCCTTCATCTATTTTTCGGATCCGAATAAAGGAAGAAAAAGGAGAAACGCTTCGAAGCATTTGTAACGCTTGCTGAATCGTACTTATATGCGTGAAAAGTTTGTGTGTTGCGCGCCATTTCTTTATTATTTGCTTAATTGTGCAAATGTAACCTGTGATATACTTATTAAACTCATAAAAATAGACGAAAGCCAAGATTAAGGGGGTCATCCCGTGTGACGGCTTCAAAAAATCGATTTTTTTTTTTGCATAAATCTAATCTAGAGCTATTTCTAACGCGTTTTTTCTCAAAACTGAATTTTTTAAACTGGTGCAACTGGTGCCCATGATTTTTCGAAAACGGTTCAATGGATTTAAATAAAATTTTAATGGTAGATTCAGCACATGTGTGGCTATCGTGGGAACTAGGATTTTTTGAAAATATTAAAAAATTCAATTTTTCGCATGCTTTTAAAAATTATAACTCAAAATAGCATGATATTTTGCGACTATTTTTTTATGCGGACAGAAAACGGTTCAATATTTTTTAAAAATTCTAGTTCTCACGATAGCCACACATGTGCTGAATCTTCCATTAAAATTTTATTTAAATCCATTGAACCGTTTTCGAAAAATCATGAGCACCAGTTAAAAAAATCCTTTGCCAAAATTACTTTGCCAGTATATTCTATGCGTGCTCTAGATTAGATTTATGCAAAAAAAAATCGATTTTTTGAAGCCGTCACACGGGATGGCCTCCTTAACTTGGAATTTTATACATAGGAGCATATTTTCTACTCCTTTCAATAGCTGTGAAACCCTGTTTTCCTACGTCAATAGGACCTTATTTCATGTATCTTTTATGGCTATTTACTGACTGTCAGGAAGGAAATTAAGAGTTTTCATCTATTTTCATAAATGTCTTCAAGTGATCTCAAGTGTTGTTTTATCCAAATATCTTTTTATTTGCAAATGACATGCAACATTTCTCAACGTGTCATTTTTCGCCTATGTCACGAATCCAATATGGTCGCATCGACTCCGAGACCTTAATTTCAATTTCTTTTGAATCCGTTTATCGTTTGTAACGATGCAAGCCGCTATGAATAACCGTTTCATGTGGTCAACTTAGCTGTTCGTGGAGGAATCTTCGTCATGCAAGTGATGCGTGATCTTTCAGTCGAAAAATTTCGCAATGACTATTCGCGTTTCCGCGAGAGATACTAGAATGCATCAACGCAACCCTTGATATACGGAAGCTGCCACTCGTCGCTATAGTTGATAAATAAATCTTGATTTTTCTTCTTTCACGATGATCAATTTACGTTCGGGAAAAATTTGTTATCCCGAATTGAATTTTAACAAAAGAAAGAAAAACTAACGCAACATATTGTGCTTTCATCAATTATTATAAAATTTATTCACGCACATATCACGCAAAAAATTGCGTTCATCCAACTTTTTTCGCGATTTTGTGAATCAGCTTCCATAAAACGAGGCTTGCGCGCATCACCTAATTGGCTGCCTCGATCACTAATAGATTAGATCAATCTCTCCTCCGGTGGAGGCTTCATCACGTTATCCATCTCCACTCGCGGATTACTGAACTCTTGAGCGCTCGGGCTATAAGTACCGCGTGTAGCGCGCTTCTTTCTAGCCATCATGAAGAGTGCTGTGAGAGATACAAGTGCGATGATGAAGAGACAACCTACTATTGGCCCCACAATCACCACAATATCAAGAGCTTGACTTCCCAAGAAATTCCCCGACTGAAAATTCAATATACAAGTATTATGATCTAAATACATATGTGTGTACGTGCGCGCGCGCATGTTTATAAGTGTGTGCGTGTGTGTGTATTGTTGTTCTTAATTACACTGTTTTATAAATTAAACTTGTACAATTGATTAATTATGTATAGAGAAATTAAGTATATGTATATACTTTTTATAAAATATTAATTACTAAGAAACTCAACGTGTTATCTTCACCCATTTATACTATTTTAATTTAATAACAACTTTCTCACTGAATTTTCTCTACCTTACCTCCGTACAATTTTGTCCCGTGTATTCGACAGTGCATTCACACGTGTATCCACCGTCATTTGCACACTTGCATGTGCCACCGTTTTGGCAATATTCCTAATATAAAGATCAAAATAGAGGTCGATTATATGTCGATCAAGTATAAGAACTAGAACGAATAAACGTTCCATACAATTCGTTTCCTCTTCATCTTAGTTTTATCCTAATCTTTTGCTTTCAAAAGAACTTTGCATTGCATATTCAGCTTTTAATAATTCTGCTTTATTTGAGAACAAAAATCTTTTATTCATCAACTCCCTCGCCTCCTCCCCCTTCTCCTGCTCTCTCACCTGGTTGCAGGGATCCACCATATCGCAACTGCTACCGCAGTAACCCGGATCACAGATGCACTGGTAGGTGCCGGGCAGATTCTCGCATTTGCCGTATTTACAATCGGTTGTTGAACCCAGACATTCGTTTACATCGATGGAACAGTCCGGACCGGTGTATCCGGTGTCCTGACAGTTGCACGTGAAGTTGTTTACTCCATCGTAGCACTTCCCGTCATTCTTGCAGGGCACGTTCCCTTCGGGATCTGGTGCGCAGTCGTCGATGTTTATCTCGCAGTACAAACCGGAGTAACCTAGGGCGCAGGTGCACTTTGGCGCCTGCTTTATATGATAACTGATTTTAGATAGTATAACAATTGAAAAGTTCACAAAAATTTTAAAAATTTCGAGCTACACACACAGAAAGAGATTTTAATCCTGGAAGTGACAATTTAAGGATTTAAGGAATTCGCAAGGTCATAATATCTAATAATATCCCACACACAAAAGTGATCCTCTGTAAAGACTTGTTAATTTGAATTTGAAATGTTAGCAATTGCACGAATCTTCTCACTTAGGTTTCTTCACAAATGTGTGACAAATAGATTACCTCATACAGAAAGTCACATCTACCGCCGTTCTGGCATTTTCTACCGCTGCAATAGGGCGTGTCACAGATTGAACCTTCGTAGCCGGGCATGCAAGTACAGGTATAGTTGTTGCCAGTTTGCGGATTCGCTACGTCCGTGCAAACACCGTTCTTGCACGGCTCGTTCTCGCAGGTGATGAGCCGGAAGCTCTCGCAGAGATCTCCGGTAAATTGGTCCGGGCATTCGCACCTGAACAGCCCCGGTAGATTCACGCACACACCATCGTGTTGGCACGGGCTGAGCGTCACACATTCGTTGATATCGCTTTCGCATCTATAATCAGATAAGAATCGATAAGATCCGGGAACGCGAGATATCTTCTCTACGTCCGTGTTAGATCATTATGAGAGAAGCACATAGTCGGTGTTCCGATCATAATAAATCGCTAATCATATTTTGGAGATTTTATAGTTGCTCATATTTTATATATAAATATTAAGTTGTAAGATACATTCATCCCGTTTTTTTAGTGTTTTTAAAATCATTTATTTGCATATTCAGAAATAAATTAAATCACTTATGTGTCATTTTAATCGATGATCTTCCATCTTTCCGGTAGCTAAAAGACTCCTCTCTTGTAGAATTCCAGGGATTTGTTAGCAAAAAGCTAATTCAAGTAGTTTTGCAGGAATTCAAATTTGATAAATTTACGCCATTAAGAGAGTTCTGCAAAGTTCTAAATAAATGATAGTCTGAAAGTGCAAGGTTCGGACTATATGGTTGGTGGATACACTAAAACATCCCAGCCAAGTTGCAACAATTTTTTCCGAATCCCCATAGAAACGTGTGGTCTAACGTTGTCATGGTGAAACACAGCCCTTTCTATTGGCCAATTCCGGCCTCTTCCTGTCAATTGTTTCTTTCAGTTTGGCAAATTGTGAGCAGTACTTAGTGGAATCAATAGTTTGACTTGGTGATACCAATTCGTACACGATACCTTTCCAATCCCTACAGCATAACCTTCTTTGGGTGCAATTCAGCCTTTGCGATCGTCTGTACTGGTTCATCCCGCTATGATCATGATCTTTTTCGATTAACATTGTTGTATTGAATCCACTTTTCATCGCCAGTAATGAGTTGTTTAAGAAAACACTCACACATTTTCATTACGTTTAAGTAACGCAAGCAGAAATTCGGTCTATTAAATTTTTGTCGCTCAATTGATGTGGCATCCAAGTATTGAGCTTCTTAATCATTCCAAACTGCCATAAATATTTCGAAACAGTAAATGGTAATAATGTTTAGTGCCTGACCAATTTTACGTGTCGTCAAATGACAGTTGCTATCAATCATGTTCTTAATTTTATCCACGCCTATGGTGACAGGTTGTCCGGCACGAGATGTATTCTTGACATCAAAATCTCCAGAACCACTTTCTGCACATCGAATCAGCATCGGCTCCATATATAGCACAATTTTTTTACAAATTTGCGACGCGTTTTTGCTTTTTCGGCAAAAAAAAACATAATATGATGAAAATGTTTTTGATTTTCTGACATGTTTAAAATGTTACAAGAAACGTTAGAGCTCACTGATCACAATAAAATTGTATCAAACTGACAGTTGAAATGTCACTTTTAAAGTAAAAGATAATATTTACGCGCATGAAGTTTGAACGATACGAAAAAGCAAACGTTCTGCCATCAAACGGGGAAAATAAGACGAACATATCTTACAACCTAATAGGTACCCCAGTCAACACCGAGCATCAGTTACGTTACATCTATAATTTCGCATTCGGTAGTGTAAATGCAATGTAAATACAAATATCAATGTTATGTTGAATTTACATTGTGTATGTGTGTAAAATTGTAACATAGATATAATGTAACTGATATTCGGTGTCGCTTGATACACACACACACGCGCGCGCGTATATGTTTGTGTATATATGTGCGTGGATGCAACATATTTCGAGAATGGACTGTGTAAAATTGTTTTACAGAAATTTTGCCTTTACAAATTAGTTTACTTTTAAAAAATGTTTTAAAGACTATACTAACAACCATCCCAACCAGCCGCTGTTGCACACGCAGGTATAATTGGCGATACCGTCTATACAAGTCGCGTTGTTCCGACACTTGTTGCCTATACATTCGTCAATGTTGAAAGAGCAGTCGTTCTCAGCATAGCCGGCCGGGCACTCGCATGCGTAACTGTTAGTCTTGTCGAGGCAGTAGCCCTTATTCTTACAGTCCGAGTCGAAACACAACTGGCAGCCGATGTTGTCACGATGGGTGCCATTGACGTGGTCCCGCAACACCAGAAACTGCAGCGGTGTAAAGTTTGCGTTCTGGTACACCTCTTCGTACGTAAAGTAATGCAGCAGCATGCTGCCAATCCGCACTTCACCCATGCAGCCCTTAAAGGGTTCCCCTGCGAGAAAATACAAGCGAATAATTCCAGAAACAATGAACGATAAGGAGCAGGACGTATACTACAAAGAGAAGAATGTACAAGAAAGAAATGGGCCAAGGGGCGCACAAGGAAACATAGACTCTCCTAGGTCTCAAAACCCACCCGACATCATGTTATGCGATGGCGGCGCGGTAGTCAGCCTATGTTCGTTGTCGTAATCCACACTATTTCCCTCGATTCCATTCCTCTTTTCTTGTCTGACGGTGATGTAACTGTGCCTATCAGACAACGCGCTGGACAATCCGCCGAGAGTGACCGTTCCCGTCACCAAGAGATCTTGCCACAGCTGGAAGTTAAAATTTGAACTTACGCGAGATGCGTATTCTTCGGTGGGGTTGGCGTAGCCGCACTCTATGGAATTATTGTACAATCTGATCAGCAGCGAGGTCCAATTCCCATCGGGCTGTGCCTTTCCGAAGGACAGCGCATCCTGATGGTTCAACAGCCACGACACGGTAACGGTGTCTTTAAAAACGGAAACGGTGAAATGCTGGTCGCCCACATGCGGCGTCATGTGGAGCAAGGTGCCGCCGGTATTGGACCGATAGGTGATTTCGATAGTATCCAGGGACGAGTTGCTAGCATTACGCTCGTCGGCGCGATCGTACGTGTACGTGAACACGGTGGAAATGCCGTCGAAAGTTGCGTTAGCGATACACTCGTAACCGTCGTCGAGATTCTGACAACGCGAACCCGCCGGACAGTCTTGCAATTGACAAAACTCCATCTCCTGGCAGGTCTTGCCGGTGTAGCCGCGCGGGCACTGGCACCAAAAATCGTTCCATGTCACATGGCAAGTGCCGTTATGGTTGCACGGGTTGCTTACGCACACATTATCCGACACCACGCCTTCGAGGACTTTATCATGGTCGAACGACACGTTGCCAAACTGGATCGGCGTGGGAATATCCTGTGCCTGTGGAACAAGAAATCAGTTGAAGTAGAATTCTCGAAAAAAAAAAAAAACGTGTAATGGTTCGTAGCGTAGGAAAAAAAAAGAGAGAAAATAAAAAGGTGCAAAACGTATGAACCTTCAAGGGGAAAAACTCCACGACCATACTTTCGACACCGTTCGATATCTGCACATCCTGGATAACGCCCTTGAAGTTAACCTGCGGTGTTTGCTGAACATCCATCTGTCTACTGTCGACCTGACGAATGTACCTCGACGCCTGCGGCAATCCTCCCAGGTAAAGAACGGTCACATTAAGTTGTCCCGTGGCACTGATGGTCTTGCGAAAGTACTCCGTACCGTTGATCTTTACCTGAACGAGGGTGACGTTTCTCACTACCTGAATTAAATGATTGTTTCCGTCGTGAAGCTTCACCCCGCCGACAGTGTAGGCTTCCGTGCCGTTAAACTGGATTCTCACGAGCAGTTCTCCACCTTCTAGCTGCGCCGCTATATAAGTCTTCTCCTTGTGATCGCTCTGAGAACTTGGCTCCGTGCCCAGATAAAATATGTCACCGCGATCCTGCCTGGTGCGAATAAACATAGAGATGTCGACGATCGATCTGACGGCTCGTCTTGCCGCGTCGGACACTTTCACGGTCACGTAGCCGTTTGTAATATTCTCGTAACCGAAGGTAGCGGCCGTCATGTTGTACTGACAGGTGTGACCCAAGTAAGGACGCTCGCACTTGCAAGAAAAATCGCGCCAACGATCGGTGCAATGACCGCCATTCTTGCAGGGATTTGGCGAACATTGAGCCTCGCGGGGACAACCCGGTTCCACGTCTTCCATGTACACAGTCTTTGACATAGTACCTGAATAAACCTGAGACAAAATTCATACGAGGCTTTTGACAAATTTGGCGAATTTTTTTCTTGTTTCTACGAAATATACAAGATCCCATACATCAATCACAATACAAATCGTATGTGTATGTGTGTATATAATAATAAAGGGATATAATTATGCTTTATAAAATATCTCCAAGATTATATGCATTCCAAAGAAATTAATCAACATACCCATTCGCCGTTGATAACAACATCTTCCGTGCAGCCAACAAAGAACGATGGCCCATGAGTCAATCTCCTGAGGTAGCTGGTAGTACCACCCACATAGGTCATGGGAAAGGACGTATGATTTGAGTTTGAGCCTTCATTAAGGCTAATGGGATAAATGGTCTGCTCTTCGTTAGCAGAGAGGACGAGGTGAGTGGCGTTGATGGCCACAAAGACCTTCTGCCAGGTAGAATCGTTAAGGCCACTACCAATAAAGACCCCCTCCCACTTGTTGAGCAAGCTGGAGTGTAGATTGAGCTTGCCGTTAACCAACTCGAGGATATAGAAGGTCAAGCCCTTGCCGATGGCCAAGAGACCATTCGGCAAAGTAGTCCTAAAACGGAACTGGATATCGTAGCCTTCGTCGCGCGTAGTGTTCACCAGGACATATGAGCTGCCGCTCAGAGACATCGTGGTCACCTGCACAAAAGGAACTTGTCAAAGGATTCGTGTCTTTCCTATAGAATATATATCTACACACCTTTTTCCGCTCAGAGTGCTTCGGAAATGAGTGCGATAATCAAAAGTGTGAATGATGGACGTGTTTTTATGTCTTTGGCAATTAATAATGATTTTTAGTTAATGGAAATTCTTTTTTCACTTCAACCGCTCGCGCGTGCAACTCGATTGTAATGTTAAAAGTTTAAGAAGAGAATCCCCCTTCTCTCGTGCACGATATATTGTATAAAATTGATACTCACGTAATCGCAAACTTCGCCGTGATAGCCGTTAGGACAGGTACAATTGAACTTGTGAATAGTCTCGTCAATCAAGTAGGGCCAGCAGGTACCTCCATTCTGGCATGCGTTGCCCTGACATCCGGTCAGCTCTACCGAACAATTCTTGCCTCCATATTCGGGCTCGCACGTGCAAAAATAATCGGCCCTGCCATCAGTGCAAGCCCCGTGTTCGCAGGGGCTGTATCTCTTGCATTCATCGATCTCGTGCTGGCAGTGATCGCCCTCGTAGCCCTCGTCGCAGTCGCAGGTGTAACCGCCAATGCGATCCATGCAAGTGCCTGCCTGGCACGGATTACTGTCGCATTCGTTGATATTTACCTCGCAATTCTTACCGGTAACACCTTGCACGCATAAGCACTCGTACCTGCCGTAATTTCAACAATTGAACATCTCTCAATATTATGAGGAGAATGGAATGTATACATGGCGTACATGAGCTTTAGGTTTCGAGTCGCGTTTTCTTCATTACTTTCTCAATGGAGTCTTGTAACGAAATTTTATTAGACTCACCCGCTCGCATTGACATAGCTGAATTCCTGAGTGAAGATCGCGGGCAAGGTTAAGGCATCACTCTTGTAAAGTTCCTTGTTGGATCTCTCGAGACAAGTGCCATTGTATTGACAGGGCGAGCTCTCACATTCATTCACGTCCACTTCGCAATTTTTGCCAGTGTAACCAAGATAGCATTGGCATTTGTAGTTCTTGATGTCATCCACGCAGAGTCCGCCATTTAAGCAAGGGAATGACAAACAGTCGTCGATATTTTTCTCGCAACGCAGGCCCTTAAAGTCCGAATTATAATATAAGCTCAGATGTAAATTTACGCAATAGCAAATGTAAGTAGTTATTGTAATTATATCGTTACGTAGCTAAAAGTGAATTTCAGTTAAAAAGAGATCTCTCTCTTTCTCTCTCTCCGCGAAATTTGATTGCAATTAGCGCACAGTTTCAAAGTTTGTATTTCCAACTTATGAGAGCGCCTAAGCACAAAGAGTCTCAGAGAATAATAAATTTGTTCGTTTATTTGCGCCAATCTTTACAACCAAGAGAAAAGACCGTATACCTCGAAGCCGGTATCACTGCAATCACAGGTGAAATCATTGATACCGTCGATGCACTTTCCCATATTCATGCATGGTGTGGACTCGCAGTCGTCGATGTTAATCTCGCAATTGGCGCCGCGAAAGCCAGGTGGACACACGCACGTATACGTGGCTATGCCGTTCACGCATCTCGCACCGTTCACGCAGGGGTTACTCTCACACTCGTTCACATCGACCTCGCAGGTTCTACCGGTATAGCCAGCCGGGCAGGCGCACTCGAACGTATTGACGCGGTCGATGCACGTGCCATTGTTCTTGCACGGGCCGCCAAGACACTCGTCGATGTTGATGTCACAATGGTCCCCGGAGTAACCGGGTCGGCAGAAGCATTGATAGCTACCCTCGGTGTTGACGCAGATGCCGTTGTTGCACGGCTTGTGTGTGTTATTGTTGGGTGGCTCGCACTCATCCACATCAAGGTCACAATACTGACCTGCAAGTATTTACACTCTCGAATAAAATAAAAATATCTTGTTTTACAAGGGAGGGAGGGAGGGAGGGAGAGATTTTTTCTATTATATGATAAATATTAAATATTATACATTAATTTTTGATGCCGCGCACGTGATTAATATACTCCATTTTCACAGACGTGATAAAACTTGCCTTGGAAACCGGGCTCGCAATTACATTCGAAGCCGCGCTCGCCGAGATCGATGCAAGTGCCGTTGTTACATGGTTTCGCGGCGCAATGGTCCACGATCAGGGTGCAGTTGGGATCTCTGTAGCCCTCTCGACACTTGCACTCATAACCAGCGATTCCGTCCACGCAGACTTTATCGTCGGGACACACTATGCCTGCACAGTCGTCAATGTTCACGTCGCATATCTGGAATCCAAATTGTATCGTCGCATATCGATATCGAACAAATATTGCGTTAAGTTCGTATCAGACTATGGATTGAAGATTGAGATTGAATTGAAATTTGACCAATCAGTGTAGAATTCATTAAATTTCACTAAACTTAAGTTTAGTTCACTTTACACTGATTGGCTAAATTCAATTCAATCTCGATCCCCAATCTGTAGTCTGATACGAGCTTTATTAAATTTGTTCGTTTTAACCGAATGTTTAGATTGCACTTTTTGTCTTTAGAACGAAACAAGAGTATAATCTTAGTGTTGGGAGGAAAAAGAACAAAGTTCCACTTTGTAGTATTAGTTCAATCAACAAAACAACATATTATTTAATAATATGCTGCAATCAATTGATATATCGCGCTACGATACCTTGCCCTCGAACCCGCGTGGGCATTCGCAAATAAACTCTCTTCTCGATCTTGGTATCAATGTGCAACTGCCATTGTTCTGGCAAGGATTCACGGCACACGGATCGTATTCCCGTTCGCAGTTGTCGCCCATGAAATCTCTGGTGCAGTTGCAGATATAGCCGTTGACACGATCGATGCAGACACCACCGTTTTGACATGGTTGTGACAGACACTCATCCACGTTGATCTGGCAGTTTTTCCCTGTGGGAGAAATATTGTTTTTTCAGAAGATGACCTTTTGATTCAAGGCAAAATTGCGGCTGATGAATAGCCTGGACGTAAACACCGGAGAAGCTGACTCTAATGAACGACTGAAAAGAAGAAAAGGGAAGAGGGAGAGAAGGAAAGAAGAGCTGAAGCAAAATGTTAAATTGCTTTGATAGGACCGCGAGCGGTGTAATTTGTCAGGTTTAACTACGTTACCCAACCTAACTAATTAATTAGAATTTGGAGAGTTTCGCGAGAGAGAAATTTTGCGAAACAACACCGCGCCGACTCGCCGAGGAGACCGTGCAAATTGCGAGAAAATTCCAGGGATTTCTATGAACCTACGAAGCATGCAGATTCATATGAGAATAATTGTGGCATGCACACAACGCAAGTACGAAGACGCACAGATAAAGGCACGAGAAATCGGGTCGATTACCGGTGTATCCTAGCAGGCATTCGCAGTAATAGCCGTTGAGCTGATCGATGCAGATGCCGCCGTTTCGGCAGGGATCACTGGCGCACTCGTCCATATCGATGGAACACTCGGATCCTGTCCATCCTGGCTCACAGGTACAATAATAACCGCCGGACTGCACCGGATAAGCAACGGATAGAGCAATACTGAACGATATTGCGCGACAGACGATTCGCTCGAATCATCGATTAACCCGTTTATTTCTTATCTTTCGGTCACTGAATGTGTCACAACGAATACGTTACAACCTTCGTCATTTTCGAATCAGATATCTGCGCTTAACCAGTTGGTCAAAAAATTATTTAATAGAAACTGCACGAATATCTTCATTACCCATCGATTTCCACAAAACGACTGCAATAATAATCGTCTCCTAAATTCATCATTCTTTCAATAGCACATCTTCGCTCTATCCGTGGTCGCGATCGAACAGCGAGCGACACCGCGCGAACGGGTTAATCGACCCGAGACGTGCGTGCAAAGCGATGCATGCGGTGATTCACACACTCACATAATCGTGACACGCGGAAGCCTGTTTGCAGGGCAGATTGTCGCAAGTGACCGGTTCCTTGCACTGAGGCCCGGTCCAAAACCTGGGACACTGGCACACGACCCCGTGCACAGTTTCCGCGCAGCTGCCGCCGTTGTAGCACACGCTGCACCAGTCCGAGGCCGGAGAAGAACACGTGCTTCCTGATAAACGTACCATGCACGACACACGAACTCGCCGATAAATTAAGAAAGCGGGCGGATTTCAATGAGAGATTAACATATCGGGATTCAAGTCGAACATGCTGCGGCTCATGACTGAGGCATAATATTGGAGTAATTAAGCGAGGAGATTAATATTGCAGATAAATTGATTAGCTCTGTGGGAAAAAATATTAATTTCGAGAAAGTGTGCAGGAAATGTGAAATGTGCCGTCTCAAGTAAAGCGTCACGATTAATAATTTCAGTTATTCCTTAATTTAATTGTTCCAAAACGATCGGAATCAATTCGAGTAAACGACGATCTCTTCCATTCTCCATTCTTGTCTCGTCGTTCGTTTTCGTCGAGCATGAAATTGCATTACGTTAGTTACACTATTGTTAATCAATCAATAAATTTTTCCGAGAAATTTAATACCAATCCACATTCGATATACTCGTTCTAATTAATCCAAGAATTTTTGATAAATTAATTCTAGCTAATCATTCGCGCGCAACTAGTCGAAACTAATCATTTCACCCGGACAGTGTGAAGCGTACGATTACACGCATTCGTGTACAATCGAAAATCGCGCGAACACGTAATCACTGATTCATTCACCCGGATGACCCCTTCGATAAATCGCACAAGCGTACAGAGAATATCTTCTCCTCGAGAGCGATGAAAATAAAATCGACTTGGGTCAACATCGTTGACTCCAAGTGTTCCTCACCTCTCCATTCCGGCGGGCAGGTACAGTTAAAGCCGTCCCTACCGCTGGTACAGGTGCCGCCGCTGGCGCAGGGATTGCTAGCGCAATAATTGATTGTGCAGTTAGGCGGGTTGCCCATGAATCCGGGAATGCAAACGCATTGAGGTCCATGAGAGTCCTCGACACAGATGCTGTTGGCTGGACAAGACGCGTTCGCGCACAAGCCACGCAATTCACAATGGCGACCTGTGAATCCCGACGGACATTTGCAGTGGTAGGTACCAACGTCGTCGATACACTCGCCGCCGTTGTAGCACGGCCCGGATAGGCATTCGTTCAGATTTAGCTCGCAGTTTTGTCCCTCGAAGCCCGTCGGACAGTGGCAGATGTAAGTGCCGTAGTAATCATAGCATACGCCGTTGTTTAGGCATGGGTTCGCCAAGCATTCATCGACGTCCACGTCGCAATTGGCACCTTCGTAACTTGAAAAAAAGAGAAAGATGAGACTTTTGCGGAACTGAGAGTCACTGAGAATTAAAAAATCTATGTCATTATTATCGACAACATCAGTTGTCATTTTAATGCATTTTAATGTGCACTAACGCATCTGTGATGTGACTTTTTCTTATCTCTGTATCTTTCAGTCGCGGTTATGGTTGATACTTCAAAGTATATTTGTCGTCGTCTTTTATCTCACCGTCTCTACGATAAGTCGATAATCGAATTGAATTTCGACGATTAACACTTTCTTCAAAAAAACGTACCCAGTTCTGTCACATGCGCAGGTATAATTATTGATCCCGTCGATACAGATGCCACCATTCCTGCACGGATTCGGGACGCATTCGTTAATGTTGGTCTCGCAATTCTTGCCAGTCCAACCAGGCTGACATTCACATCGGTATTCGTTCTCGGCGAGCGCCAGACAAACGCCGTCATTTCTGCACGGGCTTTGCTCGCACAATCGTACTCCCAATTGAGACTCGCAGCGGCTACCGGTGAAGCCGGCTTTACAGTTGCAGCTGAAGTCGCCCCGGGAATCTTCGATGCAGGTACCACCGTTACGACAAGGTGTATTCTGGCAAGGTGGACCTGAGAAACGTATGGAAGGTCACGTCAAAGGTAGTCCTTGGCAGGTTCTCGGAGCAATACGAAGCAACACAGTTAACAGCGACATTTAATAATTAATTGTGTGCAGAGGCGAGTTGTTTGATAATATCAACGGTAGACCGATTAATTCATTATCAACAAAAAGAGGTCGATTTTTTCCAAATAATTATACACGGCTGTGTGTGCTCTGATTTGAACAAATTGCAACGCCCGACATTTTTTTTACATATCTTATGCATGCAACAACCTTCACGTACTTGATTATGCAATTGTTCGTTTTAAAATATCAATTCGCAGCTACTCGTTTTCATTGGTAAATGAAAGAAACGTCTGAAATTATATATCGAGTAAACATAACTCGAAGCATGTTACTTCCGCATCTGAAGCAGAGAAAATCATTCCTACGAAACTACAGGACAAGTTTAGGGAAGAGAAGGAAAGGAAATGAAATGTTATAAGTTATAAAATACGTAACTACAGCATGCGAAAAGCACCAGTGAGGGACGATGCAGATTTCATACCCCATTGTTTTTAACGATATAATCGTTGAATTATATGTGCACATTATTGCTAGATCAAATATCAGATATAAACTCCCGATATCATCGATCGTTTGATTTCATATCTCCTGATAAATAAAGCTCTATTGAGATTACATCCGAATATCTAAATTTGATACGATCATAGTTGATCATATAGCATAAGATCAAATGTACTATTCTCTCTGACTATTCTATTCGCCACGGGATGTTTGACGACTTAAACCTTCGTACTTGAAAATTCTCGTTTTATTGTTAATTATGCTTTGTAAGAACTCAAAGTTGGGCGATGTTCTCTTGTTACGGCATGGTACATCGCATATGTGTCGTAACATTTCCTTTTAACGCGCGCATTGAGTATGAATCCGCTCGTCCCGTATTCACCATGAAGCCTGTGTTCGATATGTGTTGTCTACCATTGTCGATCTGGCAATTGTTGCCGGAGTACCGGGCGGTACAATGACACTCGTAGCGGTCCTGTCGCGAAACGCATTTGCCATGCATCATGCATGGTTCGTGGTGGCAAAAATCCATGGTGGAGGCCGTAGCGACTGTACCACCGACGAGGCCGTTTACGCCACCTGAAAATTTCTCGTTAGACGACTGCCATGATTTCTCTCTCTCTCTCTCACTCTCTCTGTAATTGCACATGTGCATACTGTGTGTGTGTGTGTGTGTGTGTGCGCGCGCGTATCACTCGAAAAAAACGAAAAAAAAGGAAAACGATTCTACTTTGCACTCGCAATTTAACGCCACAAAGAAAAAAGAAAAGGCAGCTCTCGATTCATCCGCGCGTGATTGGACAGAAAATAAATTGTCGACTTTGCACAAAGGACTCGAAAGGAGGCTCACTACAATTCGTCTACGGGAATTCTCGGTCAGCCGTGTCCGTTTTATCTGCAACACGTAATGTTATCACTCCGTGTTCGAACTAACCCGCCTACGGATGTTCCACTTATTCGTGGCGACTACAATATCGATCTACCATATTGCCGCACGATTATCCGATGTTTACTGGTATCACAAAATACTCTAATAAATCAGTCAGAAAAACATAAAACTACGCGCGTGTCGAAAAATTGCAATAATTGTGGTTCTTACATCCTTTGGTATCTGATGGGCAAGGTCCAAAAACGGCGCCGTTGTTGATGCTATCGTTGAAGAGGATGCCAGGTCCTTGCAGAATACATCCCTTGAATCCTTCTCCAACTATGAGCGAACTATTCATGTCATAGTCGGCAAGTGTCAAAACAGCGGAGTTATAAGTTGCATTCGCAACTACCTGAACAGAACGTCTTCTACATTCACGTGCGCCTCGTAAAAAAGGAAAAAGAGAAAAAAGAAAATCGCAACAATTATCCATCCGATATAAATTCGATACTTTACCTGCGTATGTCCTGCAGCATTTAGCGTGAGATTGCCCAGCCTGAAGAACAAATTAACGTTGTGCCAAACGTTGTTTAACAACCTGGCGCTCAGCCTGGCCTTGTATGTTTGTTTATCAACATCAGCTACGAAGAGGAGTCCGTCGGGCGTCACCTCGAGACTGATCGAGTCGTCGTCGTTGTACCTCTGCCGGAACAGCCTCCCAGGATCACATGTACGGAAGCTAAGGCCGCTGTGTCGATGCACGGACACGAAGGAGCTCAGTTTGAGAAACGCGGACCCGTTGAAGTAAGCCTCGCGATGGTGCTCCTCATGATTCTTGTATCTGTAGTCTTGCGGTGCACCTTGCGCGACCGCCAACAAGGTGGCCAGAGCTGTAATAACGCGAAAACACTGTTAATATATTTTTTTTCTTCTTTCACGTAACGATGCATGAATCCAATTTTGCTTTTTCGCTATTCAATATTCATCCGTAATCTCGATTATCATCGAAATGTACCAACGTTTTCTTTCAAATTGGTGAATACAAGTCATAGCAAGTCACTTTCTGGAATGGCTCTCAAGATTGCCAACGAGAAAGAACTGCGATTTATTACCGAGCATACACGCAGAGTTACATAATGCCTCTCTCCACGTCCGAGAATACGCCATTATTATCTCCAAGGATGAACTTCTAAGATTTCGTTTGCGACGCAAACGCTCACACTTACGCGTGAGAAAAGACTCGTATTCATTCATACGACTATATCAGTCGCACATACTTTATCGCACAGAAGCTTGATCATCCGAAGATGTTTTCCCTAGATTTTCAAATAATTGCAAAAATCCTTTATAGCTAAATCGTTTCTTAATGGCCAAATCCTATCTGGACGTTCTTCGAAGCTCTTACGAATCGGATTGCGCAAACGTTTAGAAACGTTTGAGAAGGGAATCGTAAAGATTCCACAGGTAGTATTCATCTCTGCTCTTTCTCTCTCTCTCTCTCTCTTTCGCCCGCTAAAGATATAAGGAGAAAATTCCATTTCGCCGAATCTTCCGCGCCGCGAAAGCGTGATCCTTCTCTCTCTCATCTTGAAACGACAGTCACTCGTCCCGCTTCCAAGTACAACCTTACGCGGCCGTGCCGTGTAGACGGGAATCATGCATTATTTATTGGCTTCCATCGATCTCTCTCCCACCGCGGGTACAGTGCACTGCGATAGTCACGGACCTAAGACTTTTCCGTGGATTCCGAGAATGGATTCAAAAATGGAGAATGCACGTATATGCGATAGATTTGTCAGACTTCCCTCCCAAGGGAGTAATATGACATTAAGCTCGCCGGATCTCTGGATCCCGAATAAACTCGTAAGAAACTACAAGTCATGAGATCTACTTGTACGTCTTGAAAACTATAAGCGCGAGCCTCTTCACTAAGAGACACGTCCAAGTTTCGTTCTTCATGAGTGAGAGAAAGAACCATTTCCGGTGCTTCTCGTCAAAACGTCTACTTGGAGGTTACCGTTTATGTACGTATTTAGCGTGGCTCTCAGTGTCTCATGTATGCAATCGTATGCAAGGCACGCATGCATTTGAGTTCCTTGGACGTGTCGCGTGCGCTTACCGTGGAAAAACGCGCGATACGAATCTTAATATTCACTATACAAACGCGGTGAATGCCTTGTAACCTCGTTAACAAGAGGGATGTGTTTTCTCATGGAATAAGCATAACAGTGCCAGAAATACCAAGTAAAATATCAATGTCAAATAATCTCGTACGAAAGAGGATAACGTAAAGAAGCACGACGATCTTGCTCCTCAATTTGTTCCTTTTCAATACGTTCGAGATATTTCTTTTGAAGTGTAGCGCTAGTATCCGCAATGGCTATTGGCAAGAGAAAGGAAGGCCAAAGAGTTTGGTGTGCAAGTGTGTTTACGAGCAAGATCTCTAGAAAAAAATCTCTCAACAATTGTGACATTTTTCCATTGAAGATTACGCTTACACGGCTAGTCGTCGACAAGACGGCTTCCAAAGTACAAGTGCGTAACAAGGCGTAACTGCATTATCAGTAGACGGAAGTAAAATGATTAATCCGTTAATTTCGTTGCACTATTTTTGCTAAGTGGTAGAAAGTCACATTTCTTAGTTTCCAAGTCGCTGCGGGGGACCGAAAATGTACACGATTGGACCCGACTGCAATGACGAGTCGCAAACTATTGCAGCAATCTATTCGCGGGACGATTTCGCGAATCGCCGTTAGAAAGCATAACGACTTGATACGTTATTCGTGAGGGTACTGCTCAGTACATTTGCGAGACACATCCGTAACTGACTGCGAAAATATGCCGTATATTTTAAAAACACTTGGAAAAATGCGGTAAAAATACGATCGCATAATTTCCCGTTCAACCCCCTTCGCTCTTCACAGTTTTGCAATCAGCCGGTATCACTTTGTCCAGTAAGTAACCGACAAATTGGTGAAGCAAGTGTATTTTTCTAAAGACGTCCTGAAGAAACATAAAAATGCTCCATATTTCTCATCGCAATTACACGCGGATATTCTTTTTGTTTTTTTGCGGAATATTTTAATAAAAATCGGTGGAGGTATTTACGCTTTTGCATTTTTTTCTTGTTTTAGTCCAAATTTGTCGAAACTTGCACGAACATTCGCGATTTTAGATGCAACGTACAAATAAATTTCGTTACATGCGAAGACGCGTATCGCAATGCATTTCGATCAAAAATATTTTTCACCAAGAGGCAAATGTCCTCTCCCTAACACAGTCCACTTTCTCTCTCCGAATAAACGGCTCGCTTCTCTTCATGTCTCTCTCAATTAGAACGTGCAAAGCGAATCAGTCATTGTCAATTGTAATTCATCATACGAACACAGAAATGCAGCGGAGGAATTCGAGGAAATAAAGAGTTTAAATAACGTAAATGCTTTGTAAATTTTCACTCACGATAGCTAACATGTCACGCAGACTCGGTGTCGATACTATAACTAACCGGGTAACTAGCCTAATCGGGAACTCGAGGAATAACAAGATGTATTGTACTCGAAAAACGACGTTCCTTGCACGATGCAAGAGAATTATGCCTGGCTGGACGAAGGCGTGGCGGCCGCGGTTGAGTCATATAACTAAGCTCTCGTAAGTGAATACTGAGTCCTGGAAAAGACTGGAAATCGTGGGGAACGATTTTCAGCGTGCCCTGCCTCAACAAGATCCGTGGCTGCGCAAAAATAACGATTGACGTTTGACGATTAAAAAAAATATCGAATTCTTTAGGCGAAATCATCTTTCACATTCGGCAGTGAATGAATTGAATTTCGGTGGGAGGAGGCAAATGCAGAGTGTAACTAGGACAAAAGTATCGTGCGCAGCTGGCCGAGTTGGTTGGTGCTTTCGGTTCACTGACACGTGGGAATTCAACGATCGTCCTATGCATTGCGTCTATAAACGGCGGACGCACGCGCGTAATAAGGGGTTTCTTTGTCTATTGCGAAGTGTAGCTACTGAGTCAGCATGGCGAGACTATTCTCAGATGACAGAAATAGTTTCCTATTTACGATACAAGTCTTCTGTCTGGACTTATCGCAAATAATATCGCAATCATTATCCTTTCGCCTGTATAACGCTACTATTGCTTACACTCTCAATCTCTTAATCGCTGCTTATTTTCAAATTTTTATTTATCTTTAAAATATCTTATCATTTTTTATCGTTCTGTCGCGTATATTTCTACATTATTAAATTTGAATATCGGCGCATTTCCAATCATCCAGTGCAAGTGCGACGATTAGAATTCTTATAGTTATAGTAACCATCAGGAAATTCCAGCTAAATGAGAGAAAATTAGTAATCCATCAACGATTATGCCAGCGGGTCTTTAGAAGGAAGACGTCATTGCGTCGATGACAATGTTGACGATCTTATCATTGAGTGAGAAAGCGGGCTTGAATGTAAAACATCTCGCATGCCTAATTTTCCTATTCTCCCTTTATCGAAATTTATTTTTTTCTTATTCAGTATATTTCGAAAACACTTTTCTGATCGTTTTCTTATTCTTCAAGAGAGTCTTTACATTCTCTTTCAGATTATTTATTTACAATTTTTCTCCTCTTTCACTTAATATTAAAGTTTTCAATTTGAGATTTTGACATGATGTCGCTTGATATTTTTGCATTTCGCACGTCGCGATGAGAAATTCTTACATAGTATAAATCAAAAAGAGAAAGCGTCTCTTTTTATTTATGCTCCTCCTTAATAGTGGCCGCACACCGTGGTAAAATTTGTGACAAATTTTCCGTTGTACAAAATAGCTACGTAGTCACGTTCGACATGTTCAGAAAAATCGGAAATATTTGCGCTAAAGGACCAGTAATAGTTTTGAAAAACGTTCTCAGGTATGCATTGTCACTTGGAATGCTGCTGAACCCCAACAATTTTTTCTCGAGATTTCGTCGAGATTTTCATTCAGAAATTCGTTCATCTGTTCTTTCGAAGGCAAAGCATAGGCATTTAGCAAAGGTAGAATGCGATAGCCAGTGGTGATGCAAGATAAAAACCCTCCTCCGAGGAATAATTTACTGGCTAGCTGGCTGGCTGGCTGGCTACCTACCTGTCTCCCTCCCTCGGCTAGAGATCTCCCTACGAAGCTTCCCTCGGGCTTCCGCTTTTACACGTTTCTTTCCGGCCGCATAAAAGCGCGCATTGACCGTGCGATCTTTCGTAACGGTATAAACTTTTACCGAGCCAACGAGTGAATCTTCGCGAAAGCGTTCGCTGACTCGATCGCGCTGACCGACACGTCGCCGACCTTCCGGAGCTGTGTGAAACCCGTCCAACACTGGAAAACGCCCCTTGTTCGTTTATGAAAGACGTTCCAGCGGCAAGTTGACGCTTATTACGCGGTTCAGAGATTCCTGTGTGTCTCGCTCGTAGCTGAATATATTTTTTCCTTATGAAGATACACACCGTTCGCAATGACAATGTGTAAAACTAAAAATACGACATGTCGTGAACCACCTCAATTTTTTCGGATAATGCAGCGAGGGGAAACTCGTTAGCAGGCGAAGCAACGATATGCTCAAGATCGATGAATTTACGACGATTGCACGAAACAGCCGCACCGCATTTTCGTGATGGTATAGACTACTTTGACATATTTTCAAATAAAATAGATTTATCACAGGTCATTATAAATAGATGAAATATGCTTTCGAACCCATTCTCCGAAAGACAACTTCTCTACATTACCGAGATATTTAAAGAGAGAAACCGTGGATCAGAAATTTCGCGCAAGGCTTTGTTGCTCGCGGTGCAATATCAATAGCCGCGGAAGGTCGATAGTTTCACGAACAGACGTCCGCCCTCTGAAAAGGCATTTAACGGAACGTCATCGCGCCTAGGCGCGGTGAGACGAGACGAGGCGACGCGACGCGGGACGGACGCACGTGTGACGCAATTGTTCCACGTGTCGCCTGTCAATTTATATATCGAGCGCCACTCGACGCTGCTGTCGTGAATAATTCCGAATAATTCGCCACGAAATATTTCGAGTATTAATTCGCTTCTGCTGCGGATGTACTCGTCATTCGGTACACTTTTATTGAGCTTCGCAAGCAGACTTCTTGTTTGTGAGAGCTCTAAAAGCTTTTACGTGAATTTATATCGTTCGTGCGCGCTAGAGGAATTTTCAATGTTCGATACGATAAAGTGCACGAAATGTTTCTTTTTTTTCTAATATCTCACGGGGGTCACCATTGCGAGTGATTTTTTAATATGACATCCTCTTACGTCGTGGAAAATTGTTCAAAAAAATTCTGTGTCTCCTTATATTTAAATAAGAAACGCAATTATTTTTTAGACACAGCGATATGTCGTCATTTTCTTCCTTAAAATAAAGTAATCTAAAATAAATAAATGCTCTATATCGCTATATTATACAATATCCGTTTTGAAATTTACACATTTCTCTCCCTCTTTGGAATTTGGAAATGATAAGAACTTCGAGGAACCGAGGTCATGAAAAGACACAAGAGTGTTTCTATTCGACTGACCGCGAAAGCGCGACCGCGACGTCGGAAAAATGCAGCGAATCGAACGAAAGTTGCATCCGCACGAGTGTGCACGATATTCGCATTAAATTGCAAAGCGGCCGAGGCAGCGGACTCGCGCGGCGTAATATTACGCTCCGCTCACTCGCACGAAATCCGCGTGTGAACGCGAATGTGAAAAATATTCCAACGCGCCTTTCGACAAAGCCGCATTTTGAAAATACGCAAAATGTTTGTTTTGTAATAACGCGTTTTATTTGATATTTTATTTCGCAGAACAATTCATCGAGACAAGATAATCGCTCAAACTTCGAAAAAGAAATTCTCCTCAAAAATTGCTTTTCCCGGCAATCGTTGAGATTTACTTCCAAGATTTTGTATTTGGCTGCTATCTTTTATCTCTCGAAGAAGATAATAATTTTAGAGAAAAAGGCATTCGAATTTATGAGTATTAAAAGGCATACTAATTTATATGGTTACAGATAAATGTTATGCCGCGAAATGTTTTCTATGGATATATTCCGTAAGTGCTTCAGAAAACTAAGATGTTCCCAGGATAATCACGGAAAGAGGAAGGGCATATGGCCCTCCGTGTGGCGCCAGAAAACCCTCGGCTCGGCTCTCAGGATTCTCATAATGAAAGATATCTCACAGAATCAGAAGACCCCACTTCGATTTTGACAGTGAACAGATTAGCCCGAATCTTCGATTCCATTTCTTACACTCTTCCCGATAGGAGAGTCGATGAGAAATACATTTAGCGGCGAGATAACGCTATTTAATTAGTAATAATCTTAATTGCCGATTCATTATCTTTGATAGAACGAACGAAACAACAAAATAATATATTCGAATACAAAAAATTAAGTAGTCTAATAACAGATTAATCATGATTGATATACTAATATCAAGTGTACGATATGTTGGCGAGCCGTATTTAAATCTGTCCCTCATTTTACTTAATACGAATACAAGTCAGAAACATTCTTTTACTCGATAATAATGATAATAATATTAAAGAAGCTACCTCTTCCGCAAATATGTCGTGTATATATTATAACGCAGCTGAGTCATTCGCGACCAATCCACGCGCTATAATTCTTACATGCTTTGATACACGAATACGTAATGAATATTTCCGTTACACAAACTGTGCTGAAATACTTTATGCGAATATGGCAAATGTCTTGAGATAATAAATTAAAATCGAGAAATCCTTTATTATATCGTTATATTTTTTATTTTCCTTATTTTTTATTTTTTTATTTTCCTCGCAAATTTGCGCGCTGCAAATTATTACTCTTCCATCTGCTTTCCTATTTTTGTATATCACCGAAAATGCAGAGTCGAATACAAAAGGTTCATAATAAATGAACAAAACTGATTTTATCAAGATGGATTGAACAAAAACGTCTCGTTCTTTACAAACAAAAAATCACAGAAAGAGAGAATAAATAACGAATCAGTCGATTTTATTCTCTCATGTTATGTAGGACCGATAATTAACGCGACAAAAGCCAAACACATGCAAAACATGTATATACGTAGGGAATGCGTTGCGCCTCAACGCTTGCGAAAAAATACTCGACCGTGGAATGCGCCAGCAATATATACGCGTATGAATTTTCGATGTCGCAGGGAGTCGCATTTATGGTATCGTGCTAACGTTAAATAAAATCGCGAATTCTTGTCTCGCACTCGCCATTGTCTATTGCTCGTATTGGCTAAATTGCGTTTCAGCATCGAATCAGTTAGGAAGATTCGCGCGAGAATGTACCTCGTTGGAAAACCAGATTGACGTAAGATATTTACGTAAAGGAAACCATAAATGACGATTGATGATGTTAACAGAATATACCGATAGTCAAGAACCATAGCATTGTGTAAAGTAGAAGGAGTGGAAAAAGAATGAGAGAGAGAGAGAGAGAGAGAAAGAAAGGCGGGGGAAGGGGGGGGGGGGAGAAATCTAAGAAGCTAAACAAATTAATTAATTGTTGAGTTCAGAAAGTAATCATGCTTCAAATTGTTTTTTTTTATCGAGATGGAAAATAAATGAGGAAACTAATCCCTTCCTAATTTTTTTTAAGAAGAAATCGTATTCTTTATATTATTTAATTTCAGAAAAGTCGTTCACAATCACATTAATGGAAAGTACTTTGAAAATAGTTCTCTATGTTTCAGTTACATACTTTAGTTTCTAGAAAATGATGGATCATTACAATCTTTACAAATTTACCATGAGACAAATTTACAATAAAGTTGCAAAAATATAATCTACTCTTAGTAGCACTCGTGACCGACACTAATACAAACGTTGGTTTGTGGATTGATTTCCGGTTGAAAATTTCCGGCAGGAAATTGATTATCTAAAGATTCTGAAGCGTCCTGAAGGATGACGAACATAGACGTGCTAATTTATGTTGAATTCTGGTGAATATGAAAATAGTCTCAATGGAGCACGTCAGGATTACCTTTCGTTTATTTTGAGAGTCCTACGGAGTTTGACGTAAAACGGGCGATTTGCGCCGAAAATAACACGTCTCGTCGTTCAGCCGGTTTCGCGAAGAGGAGACAATTACGTATTTAACAGTCGCGTTTTATCGCATGTCTCGCGTGTGCGATACGTATATATCGGGAAAGTTCACTCTTATCTCGCGAAGCTCGCAAAATACATCCATCGATGCGCACACTGCGGAATAAAGGAGCTTGCGGAAATTAGGTAACGCGTGATTAAGGTAATCAGGTAATGATTTGCGTCACCAACGCATGAAGCGGCATATGCTTTTCGTGGAATTTCATACTAATCCTTTCTTGAAAAAAATTAGGCTTTCAAATGATTACGGATCATAATTATTCGATGCAAAATTATATTCATCAAGGAGAGTGATCCGAAAACGCATAATTTGAAAACGCGCAATTCTTCGATAAAATCTAAAACAAAATTCGACGATGAAAAACCCCATACGTCGTAAAAAATCTCGTTTCCTGTCTGAAATTCTCACGATTCTGAAATTTTCCAGCGAAACCGTAATGCTGTATCTATAATACAAGGTGCGGGCGGCTCTTCTTTCGCTTACGATGTGAAACGAAAAACGGTTAACGGCGGTTTCGTCCAGCAGGTAGCAACGAACGTCTACGCTTCTCTACCTTCAGAAGTGTGTGTGTGTGTGTGTGTGTGTGTGTGTGTGTGTGTGTGTGCGCGTGCATGCGTGCGTGCATACGTGCGTGCGTGCGTGCGTGTCGTTCAAAGCACGCACCTGAGCGTGAAGCAAGGGACTCGTGTTGATGCGGCTTCCACCTGCGCTCAACTCCAGGTATATTTCGATAGCTCAGCATAGAAAAATTCTAACTGGAGAAACAAGTATACACACTCTTTCGAATTAAGAATAAGTTGAAATGTTTTCATGTAATTTTTCTGAGACGTATTATTTATACAACTAATATCAATTAATTATGAAATTAATATATTTTGAGGAGTATTGTGTAACAAATAAACAACTGCGAAATTTGTCCAACAGATCAAATGAAACAAGACAGTGAAAATTTTTCACAATAAATTAATGATGTTACTTTAAACTTAGTGATTTCAGAAAAATAAAACGATAATAAAATAAGAGGAGGAAGGTAGTTATGTAGAGATAAGTGCAGAGAGATTCTTTGGAGCTACACACGCGAAGCTTACATCGCATCTAATGCACTCTTGTTGTCCTTTGAACTGGCGCGTCGCATGTCGTCGATCTAATCACCGAACTTTCAAGAGGCGGAGATTGCACGCGGACCGTCGCTTCTACGATAATTGCACCTGGTAATTAAATGTTTTTTTTTATTCCGCAAAAAAGCCTCTTATAGAGACGGCTCGTTCTACGACGTCGCGAACGCGATATTACAATGAGATTTTGAGCGATCGATATCCTGCACGTCAGGTATGTGGGACCACGCGATTCGCCCTGCAGACTCCGCAATCGGAGATTTCAAAACTAATGGTGGTTTAAGTTAAGTAAATCAATATATGACATCAATATATTTAATGATGATTTTATATTGTTTCAAAAGTTTAATCCGACAAATTTTGCGATGTCTAATTTTGTGACGAATATGCCAGTATGTATGATATTGTTCCATACCCGCGTGGCATAAAATGTGATAAAGAATAAATAAAACAGTAGGATAATAAAAACGCAGGAATATTAGAACAATGATACGACGACTCGTGTTGATGCGGCTTCTATCTGCGCTCGACTTCAGGTATATTTCGACTCGGGCTACTGTTGCTTTTGATTATATCGCAGGATTCATTGCGAGGATTGATATCAGACATGATGTGCGTCACGATTACATTTTGCGTCGCACACAATCACAGTCTTTCATTGTCATGTATACGATGCAGTAGGAAACGACTAACTGTTTTGTCCTCGTTTGTTAAAAATTTCATTATTCGCGTTACGTTATAACTACTCTCTCTCTCTCTCTATGTTTTCCCCTCCTTCGCTACTGTTATAGATCTTTTGTCGTGCACACGAGTGCAAATTTGAAAAATGTAATTAAAAGACATTTGTATTATGGCAAATTCAACAAATTTTATATATATAGAATAATTAAAAGTATGTATATAAAAATCGATACATTTTAACTAATTTGAAAATCGTATACAAAATATGTTATATAAAGATGTTTTGCGTGCGACTAAAAGTTGGTAAAATTATAGTTTAAAATTTCGTTATAATGCGCTAAGAAGAGACTTTCCCTTATCATGCCATCTAGTATTGAACTCACTCGCAGGAGATTTCAATAGTTTCGTTATCACGTTGCATACACGCGATACAAGTTACGAACAAAAAGAGGATGAAAAATTAGGCAGTGTCTACATCTGGATTACATTTTTCCAAAGTAGCAAAATAAATGTCTCCAATGTTAATCGTCTGCTCTCGGCACACATAAATTTATAGATATAAGCCTAATTTTGATCAGTCGAAACGAATTCCATTTCTTCAACGTTCTTACTTGTTTTTTTTGTTCTTATTTTACATTCTACCTAATTTCGGTTCCACATTTATTCTTTTTAATGATTAGCAACCGGAAATTTAGCGCGCTGCTCAATTATTTCCGTGTCATTAACTGACGGTACGATCCGCCCAATGGATTTTACTTATGCATTTGACGAGTGCTGTGATCAAATTGGTGATGGTCTGTTGACATTTCGTCGTTATTCAGAGGATATATTTTTGAGCCAATTTCATTTCTCAGATACGTTATTCACTCAGTTCTTGAGATATCTCCTGAGATCCTAAACAGAAATAAACAACAAGAATATGAAAAAATTATTGGTATATTAGTGAATATTGGTATACTATTGGTATACTATTGAAAAACAATAATTGACCAGACTACTGGTATACTATTGAAAAACAATAGTTTTACCAGTTTTACCAATAATTTTTTTCATATAATCGTAGTTTTTTTCACACATCTTATAGCGATATTTTCGGATACTATCATCTTTTTACTCATTATTATCACTTCGCAGGTGCATATCAAATGTTATCGGCAAAAACATAGGCAGAAACAGGACGTCAAAAGCCACAAGCCTCTTTGTCAGTCGCAGAAACGCCAGACTACGCCTCGAAATACGCGTAACGATACAGCTTTTCGGCTGTATAGCGGCTGAATAGTATAGCGTTAACGCTCATGAGCGTCTATAACAGTATCAGTCGATGGATGGACCATCAAGTGTGCAGAAGCATGGACTCCCCCGCTTGCTACAATTGTCCAGATTCATTCGTAAATTACTTAATGAAACGTTTGTGCGGCTCTGAATCGATTCGGCCGATCTTTTGTATATATATACATAAATTTAACGAACCAAGAATATCGATCGCAATTTTCTTAATTTAGCCGACTTGCCCCTAGTTTTACAATCTCCGATTAACCAACCGATTAAATATTTCAACGTGATTAATTCTTATCAATTCTGCTTAACGACAAATGCAATTAATCAATTCCAATGAAATAATCAACCGATTAAGTTAATCGGAGATTATAAAACCGGCCCTTAGCAATTTCAACGTTCCTCACTCGCAAATACTCAAATTATACCAGAGATTTAACGACCGATCATAACTCTATATAAATTGCTATACAATCCTACATTAGTTTCGCGTTCCAGAAAAATTAAGAATATTTGTATCAGATGCATTGCGTACCATACCGCATAGTGAGTGAAAAATTGTCGCGAATGAAGAAGACCATTTTGATGATTTGTAGCATCAACTTAACTTCCTATAGATTGTTACATCGCGATTCATTATAGTTTTTTTACGGTCGATCTCGCATCCACGATTCATCGCGGAAGTTATCGTTAATCAACGCGAGTCAACGATCAATCGCTGGATCTCGCATCTTGATACGTTTTTACACGTCGGAATTTGCGATGTAAATCATGATTTTCTGCGATTATTGACATTTTTCGATTCCATAACATTTTTCGTTACGACCATAAAAATGTATCTCATGTCAAAGCGATCGAAAGATTCTACGCAATTATACCTACCGAGTAGAAGTAGGAAGCACAACTTCGTACGATCGGACGCTCGCGGGGCCCGACGACGCGCTTAGCGATGGCGACTTGACTCAGGGGGGCCTGACTCACCTGCCACGACGTGTTGCGGCCGCATTTTCCGTCACGTTGTACGCACGGTGGTCCCCTTCGTCCTCTCACGCAGTTGGCATCCTGTGCACACTGATTTTTCTTTCTTCCGTTTGCTTCGTTCGTACCGTCGAGTAAGATTCTTTGCAAAGTTCTTTCTTGTTCTCCTTTCCTCTTCTCTCTTCTCCACTCCTCTCCTCTCCTCTCCTCCCCTATGAGCCACTCTTTCACCTCTTACACCCGCGCGACCACGACCGATGACGAACGCGCGCCAAACGAGACTGCGAGTTGTACCGTCGCCACCCGGAGAACGCTGCTCCTTCCTCGTCCATCCCCCACTCAAGCAGTACTGTGTATTCACCTGGTGACCATAGTTACCTGCTTACCTGCCTGTTTACGTAGCGGATACAAGCAGAAGAGTAAAGTTGTGATACTTTTTCCGCAACCAAATTTCCAGAATATCATAAAACTTTTGTTCATTCAATATTAAACTCATAGAAGATATTAAAGTCACCTTTACGTCCGGTACGTTGCCGTCATTTGTAATCATCTCTCCATCCGTTGCTTCTTCCATTTCTTGTTCGTGACTCATAACTGGATGGTAAAGACGAACTGCAGAGAGGCGAACATAGTAATACTGAATAACACGTGTTTTATGTAAACTGTCGTGTACAACTAAAATGAAAAACATTGAGTTCAATAATATCTGTTATATATTGCAAAAACATATCAACTGTTACTCTATAATGATGTGTGGTGTATCCTCTACTTACATAATCCTATATAATCATAATTCTATACCATCTAGAATAGTGTCTGAAATATGAAAGCTAAACATATATATATATTAATAGAATAATTATTTTACGCATAAAAAAATTTGTTTACACGTGTATCCAACTTTTGTATACATATTTATGTGTTACGTTCAAGCATACAAAGAATACCCCCGCAACATAAATTGTAGATATCTTTTATTCGAAAAACTTTTCTTATTCCCGATTTTTTAATTCTCATTTAAATTCATGCTTTTTTAAATTCATGCTGCACATTTGAAACTGAATATAAATGCTTCTATAAAACTATATAAAAGTAAAATAAAATGCTTGACAAAACATTTTCTATACGTCTCTCTGTGTACGGATAATTCCATTTTACTTTTTCATCTTTTACAGTCTAAATTATTGCGTCGGAAAATTGTGAGAAAAAAAGAAAACCTCTACCGTGACAATGCCACACTATCGGACATTGCCGTGACCAGGATTCGAACCTGGGTTACTACGGCCACAACGTAGGGTCCTAACCACTAGACGATCACGGCTACAAGAGGACTTGTGCAATTTTGTCGTGAAATTAATGTTCTCTCAATGTAGAATTTTCATTCTAATTATTCTATCTCTATATACGCATGATTATTATTTAATATAACTATTTAATATAATTAAACTTACTTAACTAAACTTACTTATATAACTAAACTTACTTAATATAACTATATATGAACTTTTTTACGGCATACACATACAGATTTTGACATACACGAGCCTGCTGGCACGTATATATTACAGATGAGTAATGTTAAAAGAACGGAAAATGTCCGGAAAATGAACGGACGTTCAAATAATAATAAAATTATTAAAATTATTAACTTTATGATAATTTATATATCTTAAATATATCGATAATAATCTATTACAGTTCACTTATTAATTGTTTCATTATTTAATTTCCTATAATAGTTATATATAATAATATTTATTAGCGGTTATATAGGCTAGGATACAATAATATACATATCGCATTGTAAGAAACAACGTGGTAATTAAACAATCTTTCGTCATTACAATATGTGTTTCTTAATTTTAGAACGGTGAATAATGTTACTAAAGAAGGAAATATCGTCTGATCTATTATATATCGTTAAACATCATACTATTTAATAATGAAAGATACTTCAATTTATCGCTGAATCGTATCATTTAAAAATAAAAGTTCATTGAACTTGCCGTTGAGGTTGCGTTCAAAAACCTCACTTAAGTTTAAAAACCTGCACCCGTCGAACTCGCACCGTTCATAAAGCGGGATCTATAATGAGAATTTAAGCTCTAAGCCTTAAGAAATTGATCAATCATAGTCGAATTTGAAGCGAATAATTTGTTTACACGTGTAAACGAATAATCGACTGTAATTGGTTAATTTCTTAAGACTTAGAGCTTAAATTCTCATTGTAAACCTTGTTTAAGGCCAAATTTATCGTCACTTCTATCATCTTTTGAGTGGTCTATAATAGGCAAGAATATATTCATAAGAAGTAAGAATAAGAAATTGACCAATCATATTCGAATATAAAGAGAATAATCAACTATAATTGGTTAATTTCAAACCTTTATTTTTCATAAACATACTTCTACTGCCCATTGTAGACCACGTTTTAGAGTACGTAAACCTAAAGAAATATATTGATTGGTTGGTCAACTTTTTGCTGCTTAAGTCTTATGTCCACAGGACGCAGTAACGCTTGCCGCGCGAAGGAAATGCCGTAGCCAATCAACACGTCATTTTTCGATAAGAACTAGAAGTTTATTGGCTACCCCCCGAACTTCCGCCGCGTGCCAAACGTTTTCGCGTCCTGTGGGCAGAAGCCATTACTGCTTATGGCAATCTATGTATGACCTCAGGTCTACAATAGGTTTTAAGCCTTAAGAAATTGACCAATCATAATCGAATATGAAAAGAATAATTGAATGTGATTGCTCAATTTCTCAAGGCTTAGGGCTTAGAGCATCTATTGTATACTGAGACTGAAGATTTATAGAGCAGAAACTGTCGACTACCAAAGCGAGTTCTGATTGGCTTCTGCCTTTTTGCCTTTTCTGTCAAAGTGTGAATTCTCCCTTAGACTTAAGCAATAAGGAAATTAACCAATCAATCAGTATATTTCTGTAAGTTTATGTATTCCAAAAAATAATAGAATTGGCGTTTGGCCTTAAACAGAAGTAACTAGATTTCAAACAGTTGAAATCCCTAGTTACAAGCAATGTGAATCCTTCATCGATGCCTGTTGTAAATATTATATAAAAGCTGATAACAGCATGTCGTCTGCTCCACTGAGGATTTAATATGGCTGATTTAGACCGCGTTCGATTTGAGCCATACATGACTGTGTTCAGAAATCTTTTTCGACGGATCAAGTAACAATTAATTGTCCAATCAAGATAGAAAGAGCAAAGAATTTTTTATCATGATTGGTTAATAAACGCTACTCTATTTGTCGAGTAGGATTTCTAAACGCACCCCATGCTGTAAGCATTGATCACTACATAACATACTAGGAGTAGTGGCGTAGTGGGAGCCATGGCCTGTAAGCAGATCTGTAAGACTATAGCCGACCGGACAAAACGGTGATATATGCTACAAGATAAGTTATATGATACAAGCGACGTGATACATACTTGTATCAATGTTAAACCTTGTTGAATTTTGAACAAAAACAGCGGCGAATGGAAGTTGCTCAGGAGTCACTAAATGAAGTCAACGACGATGCAGAATTACTGAAACGTGTTATAACAGGTGGCGAAACATGGGTTCACGGATATGACGTCGAAACTAAGGCTCAATCGTCCCAGTGGAGGCATTCTGGCTCTCCAAGACCGAAAAAGGCTCGACAAGTGCGGTCGAACGTGAAGGTTATGCTCACTTTGTTCTTAGATTTTAATGGCATAGTGCATCATGAATTCTTGCCACGAGGTCAAACGGTCAATAAGGAGTGCTACCTACAAGTTCAACGCCGTTTGCGTGAAGCAATCCGAAAAAAACGCCCGGATTTGTGGAAAAACAATTCATGGTTTTTGCACCACGATAATGCACCTGCTCACACTTCATTGCTTGTTCGTGAATTTTTGGCCAAAAACAATACTGTAACGATGCCCCAGTTTCTATATTCGCCAGACATGGCTCCGTGTGACTTTTTCCTATTTCCAAAAATAAGGAGAACCTTAAAGGGCCGTCGTTTTACAAGCATAGATGACATTAAAAGCGCATCGCTGAAAGAGCTAAAGGCTATCCCAAAGATCGAGTTTGAGAAGTGTTTCGAGGATTGGAAGAAGCGCTGGTACAAGTGCATAATATCTAATGGGGACTATTTTGAAGGCGACAACATTAATGTAGACGAATAAAAAAATTTTTTTTTCAAAAAACGAAAATTCCCGTTATTTTCTAAACACACCTTGTATTTCTAAAATATTCATGAGATGTCTCAACGATGTGTAAAATACTTTCTTTTGATTAATAATATTACAAATATTTCTTTTTTATTTATAATGAGAAACTAACCGTAACCCCCATTCATAAATCCCGGTCTACAATAGGTATTTTAAGCCTTAAGTTTTAAGAAATTGACTAATCACAATTAATTATTCTCCTCACATTCGACTGTGATTGGTCAATTTCTTAAGACTAAAAGCTTAAAGTACTTATTGTAGATCAGGACTAAATCCTGGTCTACAATAATGTTGGTCCACAATAGGTATTTTAAACCTTAAATCTTAAGAAATTGACTAATTACCATTGATTATTCTTCTATAATTCGGTTGTGATTGGTCAATTTCCTAAGGCTTAAGGCTTAAAATATTTATTGTAGACCTGGACTGATATGTCAGCTGAAATTACTCTACACAGAGAATCAGCTACGGACCTAACACTCCCGATTTTGATTGCTGATTGGCCGTTGTCGGCCAATCCACAAGCGAGACTCTACTTGCGTTTCTCTTATTATTTACGTTCAAAATACACACAAAAAGAGAGAAAAATATATTCCCTCACCGTAGTTATGAAGTAGAACTTCTCTTTCACCCTGGCCATATAGTAGTAGTATTACCATATATGTAATACTACAATACTATATGGCCAGGATGAGAGAGAAATCTTGTTTCATAACCACAATGCAGGCATATATTTTCCTCTCTCTGTGTATTTTGAATGTCTTACGCATGCATCGGATTGAGGTCTCCGCTAATAAAAAATAAAATATATTTTAACATATATGTGTGTGTATATATATATATATATATATATATAATCTTCCGTCTTCGCTTCTGAGACGGCTCCCTTTTAAGCACGTGTCAGACTACGGATTAGGATTGAGATTGGATTGAAATTTGATTAATCAGAGCAAAATTCACTAAACTTACATTATTATAGGCAATATAGAACAACTGGCTATATAGTAATATTACATATATGAATATTACATATGGCAGAAACACATTAAAGGTGCATTCGAGGAGACGCCATTTAATGCTACCGCGTTATCCTATCCTTGTTGTATATGTGAAGAGTAATAAAGATAGAATGACGCGGTAGCGTTTAATAGCGTTTCCTCGAACACATCCTAAGTAATATTTAATTGACTAATCAGAACAAAATAAACTAAGATTTCTTCATCATGATCGGCCAATTTGATGTTACTTATCTTTATGGCTTCTACCCACAGTGCGCTTGCCGCGCGACAGAATTTCGAGCAGTGACCAATCAACATATTGTTTTTCGGTAGAGCTAGAAGTTTATTGGTTACCGCACGAACTTACGTCACGCGACAAGAAGTGACGCGGTAGCCAATAAATTTTTAATTTTCGTGGAAAAACGTTTGATTAGCTACCGCGTCGTTTCTTGTCGCGCGACAAGCGTTGCCGCGTCCTGTGGGCAGAAGCCAATAGTCCTAGTCTATAATAGATACTTTAAGCCTTAAGAAATTGACTAATCACAATCGAATTATGGAAGAATAATCAATTGTGATTGGTCGATTTCTTAAAGCTTAGAGCTTAAATTCTCATTGTAGATCCCGCTATAAGTGCGAATTTCCCCTCCCCCTGCCCCGCTTTAAGTAGGAAAGAACCTCGACTGTATATTAAAGTTACTAGAAATTAATGAAAAATTACTAGCACTAGCATTTACTTTCAAGTAGTCTGGCTCAGCGATGAAATGAACAGATTGAGATACTTCAATCATCAGTCATACAATGAAGGAATGTAAGATAGACTTTTCAAGATACGACAATTGATAAAATTGGCAAAGATGGAAAAGATAATCCATCTCCTTTAACAAAAAAGGAATCAGAGATCGATTCGTCAATTCAACATCTATCGGTCCATCGCATATCGTATTCGGCCGCACCCGGCGAGCTTCGCGTCTCTCCGCGCGTTCCCACTACCGCTGGTAGTGGCCGCCTAAGCCGTCGAGAGCGAAAATGTTAATTCGCTGCTACTGGTGATTCACGCTGTCACGCGTCGATTGTCTGTTCATCCCGTCCCACCGAGAGACGATCGACGAGCCTCGGTTCTACTCAAGCAGATGAGTGAGTGACTGCGTTCGCTTTTCGCGAATCATATTACCATCAGCAATCGATATCAATGAATTGGTAGCGACGATCAAGGATCAGGTTAAATAAATAATTGGTCTGTTTTTTTACAGCTGCACTGCTGAACTGGTGCAATAAGTTGAAGTGAAAAAATATATACTTGTCTTACTTCAACTTATTGCACTAGTTCAGTAATGCAGCTATAAAAAACATTGGATTGAAATTTGAGTCCGCATCGAGACATTCTGTTGTCGTTGTCGACATGGCATTTTCTTTAGTTTTTTTTCCACAAATCACAACCTTAAACCTTAGGATCGTCAGTACTGCGTTTTAAAATTAGTGTTTTTCGTCTAGTCATATACTCGTAGTAACACCTGAGCCGATTGGAATTTTGCGAGTGTCCAGGTAAAATTTCGCTTCCGCCGCACCTATCGAGTACACTTTCTAAAGCGTGACTCATACTGATGAGAGAGAGAGAGAGAGAGAGAAGGGGGAGAGAGAGAGAGAGAAAGAGAAAATAAAAATATTAAAGTACAATTCCACTAAGTCCGTCTAGTTGTGCAGTGGCAAGGGTCCGTAGGGCAATCATTTATGCGGATGTGTTGGTAAATATTAAAGAAAACAATTTCGTATGTGATATATTTTGAATCACATAAAAACTGATTCTGTTGGAGAAAGAAAGTATCACTTATACAAGGCTGTTCGAAGACTGTACCATGTGCAGTCATATTTATACACAGTTGTGTCGACAATTAGTGAAAATTTAAACAAAAGTGTAAAGACAATATGGTTACAAACACTGACCGTTCATTTAACCTGAAATCTATGCCCCCTAATGGTCGACTTGATGCATCGAACTCTGATTTAGTCGCTAGTTAGATATTAAACGATAATCATATATATTTCTATAATAACATATTTTTACAGAATGATGGAAGAACCATTGAGTCAAGACGCTTCGCCTGCCAGCGATGGTAATTTCTCAGCGGTTGGTGGTGATCTCAACTCATCCAGTACCATAGTTAGCCTGGATGAGAGAATACTAGACATCACGTCGCGACACACTTTGAATGTCCTACGGACACCGTTGACTAAAAAGGCCAAGCGCGTCCGCTTCTTTCGCAATGGCGACAAATATTACACTGGTGTAGTAATGGCGGTGACACCTGAACGATATCGCAGTTTCGATAGCCTCGCGTCCGACCTAACGCGTGCCTTAGTATCCAGTGTGACCTTGCCGAATGGTGTTCGCGCCATTTATACAATGGACGGTCGCAAAGTGCAGAGCGTGAGCGATCTGGAAGATGGTAAATGCTACGTGGTATCTGGTCAAGGTGAAATCTTCAAGAAGGTGGAATACTCGTCATCCAAGGTCAGACGCGGCAGCTCCCTGTCGGGGCTGCCGCAGTCACCGGCAGCTGGTATTAGTAGTAGTACCGGTAGGCAGACCAGCGCGATCCCGCTGTGCGTCAAGGCACGCATAGTGACGCTGATTCGCCATGGTACCAAGCCGCGCAAGGTTCTACGACTGTTGCTCAACAAACGTAATGCGCCTAGTCTTGAACATGCAATGGAGGCGATCACGGAGGCTGTGAAGCTCGATTCTGGAGCGGTGAGAAAGGTTTACACGTTGTCGGGTCAGCAGATCACCTCGCTCGAGCAGTTCTTCGAGAACGACGACATTTTCGTGGCGTACGGCCCGGAGAAGTCCGCCCAAGAAGACTTCGAGCTGGACTTTGAGGAGACCAAATGCGTGCAGAGCTTCCGACGATGTCTCTGGAGTTCCAAGCGTCAGAGCGGCCCGATGCCGAGGATGCCGAGAAAGTCTGGCAAGAAGACGCTCACCACACCGCAAGTCAGGACCCCCAGTCCGTCGTCCTCGATATTACCGCAACCGTTGAGGCTGCACTACGCCGTGGGTCATATCATCGGTGAAGGGAACTTTGCCGTCGTTAGGCATTGTATTCACAAGTGAGTATCGGAACAGACTAACGATAAGAAGGGGCAGAATTTGTAATGAGAGCTAGCTAAGGAATAGAGATGAAAATGCTGGATCAACCGATAGATTATTCCCAACGTTGATAGTTCTCAGACTGTGTACGAAAAAAACCGAGGTTGTCTGTTTGACGAGAATACATACATGTCGTTGTTAATAATGAATATGTATTGAACCCTCTTCCCAAAGTTATTCGAATTATATCGAACAATGCGAAACGTAACGATGTTACTTTCAGGTCTACCGGTGCGGAATACGCTATAAAAATCGTGGACATGTATAGGTGTCAAGGCAAGGAGATGTTGGCGAGCGAAGTGGCGATCCTGAGGCAAGTTTGCCATCCAAATATAATCAGTTTGATCGCGGAACAGGAGACCGCTAATCAATTGTTTTTAGTTATGGAACTCGTAAAGGTGCGTCACAACTGCAATATATATATAGCAAGAAACGCACAAATGATTCGAAAGATTTTATTTCGTTTCATAGGGCGGAGATTTGTTCGATGCGATCGCAGCTGCGACAAAATTCTCAGAAGTGGAAGCAAGTGTGATGATCGGTCACCTCACGTCCGCCCTGGCTTATCTGCACTCGCATCATATTGTTCATCGTGACGTGAAACCCGAGAACCTTCTGGTCGAGATGGACGGCAGTCACGTTAAGTGCTTGAAACTGGGCGATTTCGGACTCGCGCAGATAGTTCGAGAGCCTCTATACACCGTCTGCGGTACACCAACTTACGTAGCCCCGGAAATTCTCGCAGAAACCGGATACGGCTTGAAGGTACGCAATATATCGATCTTCATCAAAACTTTTATTTAAGATCAATTATCATTCTTTCAGATCGACGTATGGGCGGCTGGAGTAATCCTATATATCCTTTTGTGCGGCTTTCCGCCGTTCGTCTCACCGGAGAACGAACAGGAAGAGCTATTTGAACGTATTCTGAGCGGACAGTATGAGTTCACATCGCCATATTGGGACACGATATCCGACTCTGCGAAGCAGCTCATCTCGAATATGCTGCAGGCGCAGCCCGAGCTTCGTTTCAGCGCCGAAGACGTGCTGGATCATCCGTGGCTCGCGGTAACTGTCACTGATAACATACGATTATTGTATCACAATTTGGAAGGATCTTTCGGGTCCCAATCTCACCACAATCCAGCATGGCTTGACTCTTTCTTTCACTCACTATAACCGACGCAGCGCGCGATTTAATGTTTTCCCCTCTCGTCTACATGCTCACACGTTCGCTATCGAATTTATTATTTTGGGCACGCTATAAGGCTCTAGAGTGGGTGTTGCGTCTAGAATGTCGATAATGGATAAAGGAAGGGAAGGGGTTTAACGAACGTCAAATTTATTAATTAATTGACTAGTCGTCGAATTTTCCAATTTTTTTTTATATACCCATAGAGTTCTAGATGGAGAAGCGACATGTGCGGTATATCAAGAGCCGCCATCTTGTTTCTCCGCATGATAATAGTAGTCTACACTGCTGAACTGATGCAATGAGTTAGAGCGAGACAAAATAGAAAACGTCAAAGCAGGTTAGCTGCTCTAAGAAACTGGCTTATAGATTATAAAAAAGAAAGTAGGTTAATATAAAATGACACGTGAAGCATAGCTTGAGCGCTCACGGCACATATATTGAAATTGGCAGAAAAGTTAATTGACAAGCTGTGACGATAATTCATCCATAGATGGGAACAATATGGTGCTGAATCACGCGATTTAGCTAGCCAATCAGACAGCTTCCCTCAATGTCGCTTCTCTATTTATCTAGGACTATATACCCGATATAAGACAATTGTGTCCGATGACTTTTGTTTTGAGAGTTTGTCGTCGACGTTTCCTACGCTTTGCTCGCTGAATAGAATTTCCGTATCGAGCCGTAAATCGAGCGGAAACTCGCCTCTCCCGTCGTCAGCTTTGATCACAAACTACAGAAAGCTTTCGTAGTGGTTTGCTGTATCTGTAGCAGTGCTTTTTCTTTTCTTTTGCCCCGCCTCTGTATATCAGCAGAGCTTTCTAGGAGGCGAGCAGACCGCAGCATCAGCATCCACCGGCGCGGCGGAGCAACACCGGGATCAGCAGCGTAAGCCGATAAGACTAGCGACCTTTGAGTTCGACTTTAAGAAGCAGCGCGGCAACCGACAGGACTCGCCGAACACGGAGGCTGTTAGGACGAGCGCGAGGGCCGAATGGAAGCGAGACAGTGTTGCCGTCAAACCCCGAAATGAATCGTCGAAAGAGCGAGAAGACTGCGACGAGATCGATTTTGCCAATGGCAATCGCAGGGAAGAAGAGAAAGAAGTGGAAGAGATCGATGACGGCGATGATAACGATGATTTGATATTTCTCGATTCCGACTCGCTACAGGACATTCATAGTCTCAGCCGTTCGATGCACGATCTGATAAACAACCTGAACGAAAACAATACATCACGATGTCGTTTAACATCGCGCAGCGCCGCATCGTCATTCAACAGCATACCGGAGAATTTCAACTCGTCGCTGCGAGACGATGACTCGAAACTGGCGTACAATTATCACAGTAACTCGTCGATTCGTTGCGAGGAAGAGATTGCCGAGAATTGTCCGAAAACTCCCAGAAACTACCAGGGCGATAACGGAAACACATCAAAGACACCCAAATATTCCGACATTCAGTACGAAACTCCCAAGTTATCGTCCAACCGTTCTCTTGTTGACAGCAACGGAAGAAGATACAACCGGAAAAACCTGTTCGACGACTTCCGCAACAGCAATGTATCGGCCGCTGTCGTATCGACGTCCAGCGAAAGCAGCTTGTCCCATAGCTCAATCGGTGGTAACGACATTGAGACCTCCGATAGCTTTGTGAATATTCAGTTTGCGCGACTGGCGCACGATCAAAGATCGAACTCGACACAGAGCATGGAGTCGACCGACAGCTTCGAGAACGTGAGCTTCCGGTATGCTGGCAATGCCAACGACAATGGTCGTCTCTCAGCAGCGGATCAACCGATTCCTCCGAAACTCACGACGCACGGCAATTATCAGCAATCTGCCGCCAAGAAGCCGCAAACTCGAATCGTCACTCTCAACTCGACGTCGAGATCAGCCAAGCTGGACAATCAAACCGAGGGGAAGACTTGTGGCAATCCGAGAGTTCAGGAAATGAAATGCGCGAGGAACGAGCCAGTCAAGTTGCGACACGAGAGATACATAGGTAGAAAGAGTCAAGTAGACCCCAAGAACGCGGGCAAGAGTAAGAGATACAGCTGCTTTTCATCGTGTGCCGCCAAGAAGTCATTGGAGACGGTCGGTGACGACAAGGTGGTGACGCGCAAGTTTAACTCTACGGACGAGCTGAGAGAAGCCGCCGAGCGGCAGAAACCGATGGCGAGTAAGACGAAACGGTTCAGCCTATATTATACGCCGCAACCGTTAAGAAAGACCTATCTCGAAGGGGAGACCAGAGCTGGGAGGATCGCGTGCAAATCAACGGCTCGTGTCAATAAGTCCGTGACGGAAACGAGCAAAGACGACGAGGCAGAGAAAACGGAGAAGAGTCGGAAATCAATGGTGGACGCTTCGACGATCGCCAGCAGAAGCAAGTCTAGCCGACAGAACGTTCAAGTGCGGCCGAGTGTGGTGAACGCGAGTATAATCACGAGTAGGACAAAGTGATGATACGGTTGGCAATCGACGGGTTTATCGTATTTTGGGCTGTGCCGATCTTTAATCACCACTGGACAGGACGCTGGACGAGAGCGACAGAGTCCAATGGTGTGATCAAGCGCTTGAAATAACCGAAAAGGCAATTGTTGAGAGAGAGAGACCTTCCTTCTACTACATAATTCTGTGCGCGCGTTTGAGAAGCATATTACGTTGCATGAAGTTTTGATAAATTGCACGTGGAAGAATTATAGTAAGGTTAGCGAGAGAAGCGAGAGAAAGGGGAAAGGAGATTTATGAAATATATTTAATTCTTAAGAAAATATCTATTAAACTTATTACTTCGGATCCCCCTCTAGGTTCTCTCCAATTGCAAAGTCTGTTTTAAGATAACATAGAGCACTCAACACGCGGGACAAGACGGTACGAAGCCATTCTTTTAACTTGCGTATATTTTCATAGAAAATTTCCATTGCTGTTGCTGTGAAAATTGAATAACCGAGGAAGACCAAAGACGGTTAGTGGCTGAAACATTTTTAACGAACATAGTAATACCAGGTTAGAAGTTGTGCAAAAATTGTACTTTCCAGTATTATTTTATCGAGTTAATCGGAAGGATATTTTAGCAATTAATCCCGGTTGCAATCATCCTTTTCTAGAGAGAGAGAGAGAGAGAGAGAGAGAGAGCGAGCGAGCGAGCGATGCTAGTTTAGAGTTAGAATAAGAACACAGTTAACCGCGATCAACATTGACTGATGTTGATACAACCTGAATCGTCCTAAAATCATGTCGGCACTGTAAAAATTAAGTCGAATACGAGTGGTGATGATCGAAATTTGTTGAACATTTGGGCGAATTTCGAAATAAGAACAAAACATGCCAAATGCATTTAAGTAGGTTATTTTATATCAGATGTCTACGTAAGTCTAGATGTAGATGAAACGCAAAAATAGGTGAAAGAGTATTCAATCGACCCTTTCAACTTCGTGATGCGGAATAAGTTTTAATTAGATGCGTGTTGATGTACAAAACCAATCCAAGAGTTTATTTTTTAAAATCATTTTGAGTCCGTATTTCAAAAGGAAACAAAAATATAAATTCAACAGTATAATATGTGTGTGTGTTTAGATTTATTTGTGAAAAATTCAATTGTAACACGTCCTTTTATTTTAGACGCACATACATATACTTTATAATCTTTGTTAAATATGGTTTATCAAGACGATTTAGAAATAAGCTCACTAATATTATACGGAGGTTTTTTAGGACTTACAGTTATTTATTTATTCTGTTTGTACATTTTACGAAAGAAATTTGTTCTAGATAGAAGTAAGTTTTGCAATTTTAGACCGAAAGATTAGGATTTAAACCAAAAATTCCCTCGGAGAGTAGAATGTATGGTCGAAAGATTTAAATTAGTAGATAAGAGAATTAAATTTGATTTTCGATAGAATGCGAATGATTAACAATTGGCGATTAGCAATTAGTGATTAGCGATTAGCGATTAGCGATTAGCGATTGGAGACTTATCGAGACAAAGGGCGACAAATGGTATAATTCTGAGATGCCCCAGATAAACGCAGTGCATAATTAAATTTGCTCAAGGAAGGGCGAGAAAACAATTATTTTTATAAAAGTGCCGTCGAATTACGGAATCGTACAAGCAATAATAAAAGACGACGATAGAAATTGACGGAGAAGAGCACATACTGCGCAAGGAGAGAGACAGAGAGAGAGAGAGAGAGAGAGAGAGAGAGAGAGACGACTATTATTAAAATTATTTTTATAGATGTTTGTAAGATGAAGGCAAGAATTGAGTGTCAACTCGGTTAAGTCAAGGGGAATGCAATCATTTTCGTGCAATTAAAAATTTGAATAAAAGATGCATACAATGTATCAATTGTAGAAGTACAGTTATTCTTTTTTATTTTATTAGTAAAAATATACAGCTTCTTTATTTTTACGTCTTCTGCAAATCAAGAAATAATGACGAACACATACTATATGTTAAAAGAACACTGTATATATATTTATCGAAATATTTTTATCTATGAGTATCATGTTTAATTTTCTCTTTAGACTTTTTTAAATTTTCTCTCTATTGAAGCTCTAAAGAGAAGGAAAAGGGAGTGGTAATATAATATATAAATCTGTAAGTAAAAATTTGTAGAACATTAAATATCATAAGTTGTAGAGAATATTTTGAGGATATATAGATATATTAATAGATGAAGAATATTGGTACTTAAAATCTCGTTTAGTTCTCTTGACTCGATTTTATAAAAACAGAAAATTGTGGGACACATGTCGCGCCCTTTGTTGCTCGATTGTCGCTAATTTACGACCACTCTTGCTACAGCAGTTTTCCAACAGTTTTTGTAACGCAGTCGTGTGTGATGTATATCGACAAATCGTATGTACATAATCGTAACGATATAAGGCTCGATTACTCGTTAAACGATAAAAATAGCAGTGTTATTGTGATTCTTTCGCTCGTACGTTCGTTCATTCACTCGCACGTGTCGCAGGATTCCGATTTTTAGAATTTATTCGCGAATTTATATTAATATGCTAAATGATATAAGTATTTTTTGTTCATATTCTGTTGTTTTATGCCTTTAATATTGTAACAAGTACACCGCTCCGCGCAATTATGATAGGTTTCAAACGTGATTCACGCCAAATATTAAGATATATTGACTAGAGATATATTTATATTACACATTATATATCATATATTATAATTACTATACATATATACATATATAAATATAGGATTCACGCATGAAGGAAAACGTTATATAGATAAGGTAATTTTATTCTGTGTCTGTAAATTAGTTATATCTGTTTAATTTTGCAGTTCGTGACAATGGATTAAAAAGGTAAATGGTAGCGTACTTGAGCGTAATATTAATCACGTAAGATTATTTAATTCCGAGAAAAAGAGAACAAATTTGTGCGAATAAAATTAGTCAATTAATTTTCGCAATTCTTACGAGAAACACATTTCACTCACGAAACCGTTTATTCAAAACACGCGTGCATGCTTTGTGTATGTGCGTGCGTGCGTGCGTGCGTGCGTGTGTATGTCCTAAACGAATCTCGGTTCCCATGGTGTGCAAGTAAAACGGGTGAAACTGGGCAGAAAAGTCATGTATAATTGTGCAAAATTCGCGATGGTTAGTGGAAAATTAATTATTTTGTCTGAACTAATGAACACACGAGAAAGGGTAGGCCGTATATTGTACAAAGAAAAATAGTTTACTTCTTGTGATCTCCTAGCAACGATGAGCATCAACTGATTTTTAAAGGCGGAGTAATGCAGTAAGCAACGAGCGGCATGTGACACAGGGCTGTACGTCGAAAAGAAACGCGCCTCTCGCTATCAGTTGATACTCATCGTTATTAGGAGATCTTCAGAAATAAGCCATTTTTCTTTATAAAGAGTCTAGCCTATCCTTTCCTATGCGCTCATTAGTTCAGATAAAATAATTAATTATTTACTAACTATTGCGAATTTTACAAAATGGTATATGACTTCTGCTCAGTTTCACTCTTTCTACTTGCACACCACGGAAACCGAGATTAATTCAGAACACCCTATATATATGATGAACGCACAATGATGCAATTGTTACTTGCGTTTCTGAAATTGTTCGATATTATGATTTACAATAGGCATTTAATTTCTGATTTATTCGAGATTCTGACTGAATTAGTCGATACGAAGCATTTTTGTCAGCAGTAGTGCAGATGAAATTAATTGCAGACGAATAAATTACACGTATGCGTTAATTGCACAATCAATCGTATCAACTCGCTTGAGAGCATGAGAATTTCTACTTTATTACCATTTACGATTATTATGCGTCACACATCGTCATAAAAAATGCACCTACAAATATTTATATTTAATGTACTGCCACATGAAGCTTATTATACTTATATTGGGAAATATAATTGCTAAATTTCAAATTTTTATATCTCAAAATTGCTTCTTTCCGTGATTCTCATACCGATTTGCTGCATCTCTCCTCGATTAATTACGACGTTGATTACCTCGACAAGATATAATCAGATTGTATAACAATAACATGAAATAAATTGAGAATTTAAAGCGAGAATTTAAATATTGAAAATCCTTGCTGCGTTCCAAGGATGTGGTGTTTACACGTCTGACCTGAGAGGCCCGTTTTTTAGATTCCTGTAAACACAGCTTTTTTTGCAGCATAAATCGTAGTTTCGCGGTCGCGTTTTCCCCTCTTCCTACTGTCAGCGAGTCGCGCGCGCGCGCCATTACGGTCGCACGGAGCGCTACGCAGTCGTCGCTGGCCACTCGTCGCCGCCGGTTCGAACGTAACGCGCGCGATCGTGCCGTTCACTTTCACGCCGAGATAAACACACAGTGATATGCATGGACATATCATATCGCATGGTTATTGAGAGCGAATTGTTTCGCATTTTATGGTCCGCGTATTTCAATATCGTGAAAAGTACGGCTTGTTGTGACGATACTTTGCCGCGGACGTGGGATACATATCAACAACCGGGCCGGTTATTAACGACGTTTGCCTGGATATACACACGTCGGGCACGACACCGCTCAGGTGAGATAATATATTTATACGACATAATAGTGGAAGGGGGTCCTTCGATGAAACGGTATTCGATTTAATCTCATAAACTTATCGCATGATCATGAATTCACTCGGCTAACATATCGTGTTTTAACTCACGAAATGGCAAACCGATTGAAAATCACGTAATCTCTGTTCCGAAATTCAACGGTCGTATTTGAATTGTAAGCGCGACAAATAGTAATGCTATATAACGATATATGCGTAGCCTAATGAGTAACATGTTATTGTTGTGAGAAATTACTTCAGCTAACGTATGATATTCCTTACGCACGCCGGTGCTGCAAATGGCAAATTTTCCTGTTCAAATGTTAACTCGCACGTGTATATGCGGATGTATATCGCATCATGAAAATTCACTGANAAAACCCCCCCCCCCCCCCCCCATTGGACGACAACGGAAACATAACAACCAAGAATATCATGCGATCATGGGAGTAACGCAAGGTAGCGCGAGGCTAAATTCAATGTCCCTGTTATTATTCTTTTCTTTTTGTACGAAATTTATATACAATATATGAGGAAATATCAAGTATCCACATATTGCATATTTCATAAATTTTCTAGCAAATTTTTTAAGTTATCTTCAAGCTAGATAAATTGAATAAAATATCAGTAATTCTAAGAGAGTTTTCCCTTGAATATGAGTATTTATTTGAAACTGATTGCCAGATAATGACATCAAAAGGGGACATTCTCGAACAATGTAAATATTCATTTACAATGGAATGTGGATCAATAATGTGAAAATATATCAACACATACGTAACGGTTATTTGATGAGAAAGTTAGAGGGAGAGCGTGATTGCGCGCGCGTATGTAATCACGCACAAAATTCATATATGACGTAACGATTGCCACATTTCATTTTCACAGGCAATGTTATTATTTACAAAAGACGCGAATCGCGAAAATAATGATTGCAAATGACTCATGTGATCGCGAAAATTTTGAAGTTTCTAGAAATTACTCGTTGTATCGAAACACCTGGCGCGATTATTATCGGAGCATAACGGTATTTCTGCCATGTATGCGTTGCCATCGCCGCTAGACTGTGCGCTCAAACGCGCCGCTAATGATTGTTTCGCGAACACGTTGCGTCACAAGGACGTTTTCCGAAGGCCTCTCAGAAGGAATGCAGCACTCGCGGATTTATAATTTACCATCGTTTGGCGGATTTCACAATAACGATTGCTCCATTAGCTTTTACGAAATCACGCGACAGAATATTATGTCAATTCATTGATTTATCGTATTCGTTTGGTATCTTACCGAAACTACTCTTTGATTTGAGTTTACCATTTGGTTCAAAGAGTCTGTAAAAAACTACATAAAATAGGATTACGGAAACGTATGATTGTTCGTATATAGAAAAAAAGGTTTCTTTGAATTTAATAATATTTTCTTAATTGAAACGAATTTATCTTTTAGAAAGAATAAATAAACGAATATTTTATTCAACAAACAGTACTTTAGTTTCTCAAACAATAAATATTTTTACGTCATATTTCTATTATATTTTCATTCGAACATTACAATGGTAGTCACAAGCAATAAATTATTTGAAAGAAATAACACTATGTTAGAAAAATATTAAAGAACTTTTTTTATTTCAATGGATCAATATTTAATAATTAAATTAATTTTTTTTATATTGAATACGAAATATTATTTCCTCTAAATATAGTATTGTTTTCTCCATCAAACAAAATGGTTTACTCTAATGAAACAACATTTTCATTCAAACAAAATGATATTTAATATTAAATTATGTTATTTATATTACAAATCGTCAAGTCAAACATATATTAAAGAAATCTTTTTTCCGCTATATAGTTTTCGCAGAAAGCTGCGTCGAACCGTTTGTTTTCCATTATTCCTGAATATTTTTGTCGCATATCGTTTCCACGAAATAATTGAAGAAAACCGATGCTACCAAATTTGGTAATTACCAGCCAATGTATTTTTGCGCCATACGGTTGCATAACGTATTTGCACGCATACCTGCACTGAACACATTGGGCTTATTCGATTTGTTGCCAAAATGTAGATTTCTTTTATATATATATTTGACATTGTGTTCCCCGATATTACAATTCCTATACATTATTTGAAAAATTCGCATAAATTAAGTT